AGTGGCTAGGGTCGTGGCAAGGGGATTTAGTTTTCTCCCTGACTCAGGAAGGGCATTTCAGCAGTTTTGGGGTTTTAGCTTCTCTGGAAAGAGAGAGTGAATCTCCACGTTGGAGCCACATGTATTCTCAGCTTGATTAAATCAGCACTATAAAAATTGATAATAGTCACTTGAGTTCAGGTTGCCTCTACCATTATAAATTTCAGGTACAAAAAGTCCTTTTTGTGAATGACAGGTCTGAAGGAGGCCTAAGGACCATTGTGTGTGGTTATTTGTTCCATTTTGTATACTTGTGTGTTTTAAAAAGGTGTGTACTTGGTTAGCCCCAAGGTTTTGTTTTGTTTTGTTTTTTTGTAAACCACAAAACTCTGATCTTAAAAGAAACACTTTTCCTAATGTCTTCGGTACCTTAAGCTTATTAAAGCATGGGATTGCCACTCTTCCTTGTTTTGCTTGTTTAGATAGATGAAGCATCTATCTATTTAACAGCTGTTAAAATGTAACTTTGAAAAATGTGACAAGAATTGATAAATTCCAAGAGAATACGTGGAAATCTTAGGATTTAAATAATAACAAACCAACTATTGTAGATAATTAACAATGTATTCATTATACAGATACGTATGGTCTAAAATACTGAACCACAGGGTATAATAATAGCTGGCACTTGTGATGATAAAATAGGCAAATGAGATACAGTTAAATCTGAGAATATAGGCACTTGGATGCAGAGATCTGTAAAGCAGAGCTCCAGCAATAGATGGAAGGGGTTAGGGGAGAAGTGATTTTCGCAAGATGTCCCTTTTCCCTGCAGTCTGCTGTGGCCTTGAAAAATCTGCTCTGGAGAATTGACATACCATCTGCAACAGTGCAGGATGTGGCCTGGGGACTGAGAGGAGGAAGAGGAATTAGTAAAAAGTGCCTCCACCATCCCTTCTGTCGGCAGAAGCCTCTACCAGAAAAATCCTAGTCGCTTCTGCAAACAGAAGGGACATTGCCATTAACTGAAGGATTCCTTCTATTTGTGGAGGATCTCCACTGGATCCAGTTTGAATTTTAGTTCCTCCTATTTTCTGCTCTGTGGCAGGCCACCTGCTTTGTTTGCAGAATATTTCTGGGTCCTATCACTGGCATCTTCAGGTAGGGCTGGAATTTACCATCTGAAATCCTTGAGAGCTGCTGTCAATCAGTGTAGATAATACTGAGGTAAATAAAACAATGGTCTGACTTTGTATAAGGCAGCTTCCTGTGTTCCTGTACTTCTGAAATAAACCCTATGTATTCCATTGTATTATGATCCTTTAGCTGACATGCATATTCACACACTTTTCCTAGCATATTTCTTTAAATGAATTAAAACCTGGGACTTTTTTATGGGGGCTTTTCACACTTCCACCTGGAGATAAACTATAGCATTTGGTGTCTGTGATCATCATTTTACACATGGGAGTCACAAACTGATTATGAACTTGAGAAACGTGCATGTGGAAATTCACCTTTTTTTTTTTTACTATAGTACTACTGGGAATTGAAAGGCTGTGGCAGATGGTTGCGTTTGTGCTGAGTTTTTATTGTCATGCAGTGTAATTCCAACATTGTGTTCAGGCCCCCTCACTGGCCTGCTTTATCGTGAAAGCGAGGTTGCCATTACTTTCCATTGTAAAATAAATATATTCTGTTTTACAGCTGCTGAGATGGTAGTACAAAAGTCCATTTATTTATTTTCTGTGGTGCCGTTTAAAACACGCCATTACTTTTGAAGCAACCTCCTTTGAAGCAGGACTAAAGTTGTGTTGAATATGTACGGTCACAGCAGGAACAGATTATGTGCGGCAACCTCTTTTCACCTAGTTTTCTTTCTTTCTTTTTCTCTTACTTCAGAGAGAGTTGCTTTATATGAATAAAAATTACCATCTCTTTCTAAAATTGCCTATGGTGCAGATTTAATGGTGATGAGGAAAGGCAGGTGGCAGAGGTGTGCTTAAAAATTGCTCAAAACAATGTCAAGGATCCAAAGGGCACTTGAGGGTGGAGTTACTGTGCATCATGCCCTACACAGGACTTCTTTTGGAAATGGCAACCCTGCATTGTATTGTCACATCATGCGTTTCTCTGTACTCAGTATCATTACTTTCAGGACTGGGGAAACAACTTGTGTAAGCCTTCCTAAACATTACTGTGCAAAGGTGCTGCACTGATATCTAGTTGCCCCCTGAGGCACAAGCTTTTCCAACAACTCTCCAGCCTTTAAACTGCAGCTCTTCACACTCCTTCCCTAAGATTAGGAGAGGCTGGGGAAAGGGAATAGCTTTGCTGTATGTGCAGAACTCGCCGCAAAGCCTTCTTGCTGCCTAAATCAAAAGAGAGGACTTTTATAGAATGTCTGAAGTTGTTTCACTGCTTACAGATCTCCTCATTAGAGGCTGCATCAAGTGCTGCAGATGCTTTATGCTGATTTCCTTGTTACTTGTGCTGATTAGCTGTTTTATATATTTTTTTAAAGAAATTAAACCCAACAACTGGCAGAACCTAAATTGGCACCAGACAGAAATTACCAGGGGTTATGGAGCTTTTAGATATGCTGATTAATTCTCATCAGCAGGAGCTACATCATAATTGGTTTGTATGCTTGGGAAAACAAAAGGAGCTAGAAAATTGCTGTTTAACATGCTAGACTGTTTTAAAGGGAGGTTCTTGGAAATGTGAAGTACAGCTGAGTATCATTTATCTGTAAGAATATTCTGTGCACTTCTGTATTGTCATTTCTGGCTGCCCAGCCCATCAAGTTTTGTGCTAAACAAGAATATGAGAGGTTGAAAGTAGAATATTGATGGCCTTAATCAGAAACTGTTTCTATCAACTATATTAGTACATCACTACAATGCTTTCCCCCCCAAAAAAAAATGTTTAGGGGTACTCTCATTTTCCTACTCATATTGAAATACTGCCCCTCATGAGATTCACAAAATGTTTTAGGGTATGTGTACCTGTGCGTCCCCCCCCCCGAAAAAGGCACTGCATCACTAGTTATTTGAAGAAAATGCATCAGTCCTTGTTAGGCCACTTGCGGTGGCTTAACATGGCAATCCAGTGTGGTATAGTGGTTAAAGTGTCAGACTAGGACGTGGCAGACCAGGGTTCAAATCCCTCACTCAGTCAGGCAACCTTGGGCCCATCACAGTCTCTCAGCCTATCTGAGCTTGCAGAGTTGTTGTGAGGATGAAATGGAGAGGGGAGAACTATGTACCCCCCCCTTGAGATCCTTCGAGGAAAGATGAGATATAAATGTAGCAGCAGCAGCAGTAGTAATCCTTTTAATTTACAAAGTTGTATACTTCATTTAAAATATTTTTATATGTTCTTCATTACAAATACAAATCCAGAAGGGCTTACAAATCAAAACAAATCCAGATGCATCGTACTAGTACTATAAACAATGTGGATAGTTACAACCAGTCAAATAAAAAAAATATATCAGTGCTGGTACTTTAGGCCGACAAATACCCATGTCTTCAGCAAGAATCGAAAGGTTAAAGAGTAGGCCTCATCCATATCTCAGAGGGCAAGGAGTTCCAAACTAGGTGCCACCACTGAGAAGGCTTTCTTCCCATGTTGCCATATAGCTCAGCTAAGAAGGGTTCCCCAGCAGGTCTTAACAAGCAGGCAAGTATAAACAGGATAAGGAATTCTCCCGGGTGTCTATTCCCCAGATTGTATAGGGTTTTGTAAGTCAATAGGAGTACCTTGAAGTGGTAACATATAGAGAGTATATTTTCTTTCAGAATTGGTATTGCGTATTTGTGACAGGACACCCCAGATAAAAGTGTAACCACCATATTTTGCACTATCTGAAGCTTTCTTCAAGAACAGCCCCACACAAAGCGCCTCCAGTCTTGAGGTCTCTTGTTTCACTGTGAGCTTCTGGAAATCACAAGCGGGGTGTCTGCTGTTGACCTCACATCCTGCTTTTTGACTTCCCATAGGCATCTGGTTGGCCATGATGAGCCATGGGCCTGGTCCAGCAGGCTCTTCTTATGTTCTTATGTACTTTGGCAAGGCCAAATGTGGTAAAAGGCACTTCTTGCTGCAAAGGACACTTGAGCCTCCAGTGATAATGGCTCTGATGGCACTCCCAGGTCACATGCCAGTTCCTTCAGCGAGAGTGCAACCTGTCCAGAACAGAAAACCTCCCCGATTTCCAGACCTATACCTTATCAGGATTTATATTCAACTTATTGGCCCCCCTTTGACCCACCTCTGTATCTAATTACCAGTCCAAGACCTGCACAGCCTCGACTGGCTTAGTTGTACAGAGAAAGATAGTTGGGTATCATCAGCATACTGATCACACCTCTCTCCAAACCCTCCAATGTGCACTTCCAACAGCTGCAAATAGATGTTGATATAAAAAATTACCGTACAGAAAATTGATGGGAGCATAGCGTTCTATGTAAACGTTGCAAGAGAGAGCAGTATTGAAAGCACGGTTGGAAATAGCCATTGGCAGGAAACATAAGCAGGAAATTGATGTGCCTCTAGGTAGGTCTGTTAAAACAGTATGCTGGCCAGCCCCACTGGGCAATAGCCCTAATCATGCTATAAGTGGTGCTGGGTTATTTGCATGCAATTTAAAATATGGAAGCTTTCCAAATTACAACGCATTTCCAATGTGGTTCTTAGTGCTAAACTTCTTGCCCCCTTGTTTTAAGCAAAATAAAGAGACAAGATGCATTATTTGGTCAGTATCTAAATGCCTTACATTTTTACAGGGCTATGTATTTTATTGTGCTGAAGGTGCATTTTTCTTGCTCTTGCTAAATGGATCTGGATCTGGTCAGTGCATAGTTGGGAGCCCACCCTGAAATTCTATGTATGCCACCTTAAAGGAGGATTATAAACGCAAGAGATAACTAAAATAACCAATAAGAGAAAATGAAGATGTTTTTGCAGTTTGTCTAATGTATTGATTCCCTCTCTTCTCTCCTTTGCTCGCTTTTCAGCAATGATGATGCATTTAACCAGATGGCTGTTGCTCCTTTCCCATTACCCTCCAGCTCCCAGTCTTCCATTGAGGTAAGATACTTTCTGATTAGTGTTTCCTAAATGAAAGCAATTAATCATAATTAGCAGATTAATATAAACCATGGCATTCATCTAATTAAACTCTACAAAAAAACATTCAGCAGAAGGCCAACAGAGCATGAATTTCCCTTCATAATGCAATAGCTGGCATGGTTCACTGTTGTGCACGTCTGTTTGCATTTTTTCAGTGATGCAAAATCAGCTCTATTTAAGTTTGAAACATTAAACACAGAGATGAACTATGCTGAAAACCTGATACCTGAAGCACTTTTCTCTCCCAAAACCAAGGACGGAGCACTCCAGTTCACACAGGGGCACCTTCAGTGTTTTTTGGAGTGACATCCTTGGGTCTTGTTGATGTATATGTGTGTGCTAAAGAGCATAATGAGAATAAAGGGGCTCGCTGTGTAGGTCAGCACAACCTCTTTATATGAAGTTCTGAGACAAATAGGCAGCAAATTCAAATGATACAGTATAGGTGTTGTGGACTCCAAGCATCTACCTTGTCCTCTCACAGCTGCATTCTGTAGAAGCTCCTCATAAACAATTGTCTTGTCCATCAGTACCACCTGGGCATTGAGTCTAGGAACACATACCTTCTGAGACCAGCGCTCCAGAAAGGGCCAAAGCTTCCATAACATTGTGCCTTCAGAAACTGTTCCAGCTAGGCAGCCCAGCAAGATACTATGGCTGATGATATCAAAAGCTACAGAAAGGTTCAGGAGAACTCACAGGATTGCACTCCCCCTGTACATTCCCCTATGTAAGTTATCCATCAAGTTGACAGCCATATCTTTCCTAACTCAGTTGGAAGGCAGGCTAAAACAGATCCAAATAATAATGAGTTTCGTTCAAGACTGTCTGGAGTTAAAAGTCTGCTACTCCCTGCAATACCTTTCTCAAAAATTGTAAATTAGTCACCAGGCAAACACTTGAATCCAAACTCTCCAGCTCCAAATTAGGGTCTAATTATCACTTTTAATGGATCATGCCATCTATTAAAATAGGAACCTTCTATCACGTTGTTAGAGTCAACATGACATTGGAGATAGAGAAATATCAACAGTGGTATTCCCTTGCATGCCAGAGCATCAGGTAGAACTTTTCATCTTGTGCAGAATTGAGTGTGAATTTTCAAGGACAATGGAAAGAGTTTCACTTGTACTTATTCCTATCCGAACGTAACAAATATCGTCAACAATAGAACATTCTTCTTCTGGGCTTAATGAATATTAACAAGTCATGGATTCATGGAGTGGATCCAGAGGTAGACCTTGCATATGTCCATAGAAAATGCAGCTGTTGCATGTGCCTACAAGCCCTCTAGGGATGCGGGTGGCGCTGTGGGTTAAACCACAGAGCCTAGGGCTTGCCAATTAGAAAGTTGGCGGTTCGAATCCCCGCGACGGGGTGAGCTCCCGTTGCTTGGTTCCTGCTCCTGCCAACCTAGCAGTTCGAAAGCACATCAAAGTGCAAGTAGATAAATAGGTACCGCTCTGGCGGGAAGGTAAATGGCATTTCCATGCGCTGCTCTGGTTTGCCAGAAGTGGCTTAGTCATGCTGGCCACATGACCCGGAAGCTGTACGCCGGCTCCCTCAGCCAGTAAAGCAAGATGAGCGCCGCGACCCCATAGTCGTCCGTGACTGGACCTAACGGTCAGGGGTCCCTTTACCTTTTACCTTTACAAGCCCTCTGTCTCCAAACAGCGCCATCCACAGCGCAATCCAGACAATTGGAAAGCCAGGGAAAAACCTCGGCACATAGCAAATAATTCAAGAAAATGTCCCAAGCTACAAACTGCAGGTCACGTTTTGACCTCTTCATACAACTACATCTGGTCTTATGCCAACTTCACATTTGAACCTCATTGAGTTGCCTTTGGGAAAACCACCATTTTGGACAATGGCCAGTTTCTTCCAGCATCCATTGAAAACAAACAGTATCTGACTCACAGAGAAAGTAGGTTTCTAGAGTCAGGAAACCCTGGGATTGCTGCCAAACTTATTTGGAAGGCCAGGCCAAAAAGATAGTGTATGTATATTGGTGAAATATCATAATATGGAATTCCAGAAGTTTGATAATGAGCATCTATTATTTGCCTTTTGTTTTGACTTGCAAGCCCAATGATTATGCATGGTTACTTTATAAATAAGAGAAAACATTTTCCTCCTTCACATTGGTCCATGCCCTCTTCAAATACACTTGTTCTCATTTTTATTATAGAGTTGATTTTCTATCATAACCCAGGAGTAGTGTGTCACTTTCTGGATAATTACTGTTTCCCTGATTGATTTTTTTTTTTTTTTTGCTGAATTGATGTTCCCTGGTATTTAGTCAAATATTTCCTTCTATTATCCAGTTCTTCTGCTTTAGTTTCTTTGTGATTTCTCACTCCATACCATTTTTTTTTCAACTTTGTGTGTCTTTTATACCCAAACAACATTATTCTGGTAATGACTTGGTGAAATACCTAACATTATGCAGTTGCATAGTTTAATCATGTTGCAGTACACCAACGGTTTTTAAAATGTTACTAAAGATGTGGGGTGTGCTGGTGTTCTGTGCACTGTGTGTGTGCAAGCAGAGCAGACTTTCACAGGGATAACTCTAGAAAGTCTGGCTTTGAAGGCTATGGATACTTTCCAGTTAACTTGAATGGAAGATTTCATCTTCTGAAAACCTGTTATTTTTCATTTCTGTTATTTATAAGCTGCCTTTCAACCAAAATTGGTTCCCAAGGTAGTTTACAGAATTTTAAAAACTTACATATATTTAAAACCAACAATAGAACTTCAGGCAGAAAACTAAACCATAACAGCCAGTTAACCATTGCTGTTTTATTAAGAGTTTGATAGTGCACAGAGTGTGGCTCATTTGATGCATGTTCAGGATCTGGGATTTATTAAACTTCCCGGGAATCTCAGCTTTCTTTCTTTCTTTCTTTCTTTCTTTCTTTCTTTCTTTCTTTCTTTCTTTCTTTCTACTGAGAGACATTTCTAACTGTTGTGCTGGTGAAAATGTACTGTACGTGTGTTCTCTGCAAAGGAGTGAAAAACCAAAATACTCAATGTTTTGTACCTTATTCTCTTCCTACTGCTGCTTTTTGGTTCCTAACCTCTATACAGCATGCTTTTTGTGGGAAATGTGCCATCTAAGCCAAGGCTGGGATTGCATTGAAGTGACAGAAAACAAGAGTGATCTGAATGGTCATATGTGGATATTTGTGTTTCCAGAGCCTTGTGGACTATAGCCCAGATGGCCAGTTGAACACTGTTCATGAAAGCAAGGCTGATTTGTTGAGTCTCCCTCCAAAGAAATATATTCTGTAGTTTTATTGTTAAAATCTTAAGTGAAATTCACATTCCTAAATTGAAAAACAAAACTTTTTCACCAGGACCACAGTACCACCGAATCTGCAAGTGGTGAAGAAGATACCAGTTGGGAATTTCTTACAAAAAGCTCAACGGATGATGTGTACACTAAACTAGTAAGCATGCGCTGCAAGACATATGCAAATTTCTTTACAGAGTCAAGGTTCCAGTAGGGGGGGGGAAAACTTGAAAAGGAAAGAGAAGCAGGAAATGACATTGGTGCAGTTTTGCACACTGTACAGACCAGCCCCAAAGAACAGAGAAACTATAATTGAATTTTGGTGCCCTATATGTGTGTTACAATTGAACCTTGGATTCTCATATTGGGACGGGGCAAACAATCAAAACCATAATACTTTGGTGAGTGTAAATTAGACAGAGAGGGTAAACTGATGTCAAGCTGGCACAGAACCATGCATGGCATTGAGGACCATAGCTGTTTAGAGATCTTGCTAAGTCCCTCTTTATTTCCACTCACTCAGATTTGTATTTTCAAATGTATAACTATAACTGCTAGAGCTAAAAACTTGACATTTGAAAAAGTTAATGAACTGTGAGATTCTCAAGATGATAAATTCAGTCTCAATTCTCAATTCAAAAAATGAATTCTGCTGTTCTGAAACTCACATCATCTCAACCCCCACCACAAACCCCTCTGCTAATGAGATCTAGCATAAAGTTCCTAGTAGTGGTTTGATAATGCCGTTTATTCCCTGTGGAGAATGTTAGAGAAGAGAGAGAGGCCTGTTGACGGGCCCTTCTGCATGTCCAATGCGGTAATCTTGAGAGGCTTTCCTTCAAGTGCTCCTGCCAACTGAGGTGAAGTGGTTGGTTACCAGAGTGAGAACCTCCTCAGTGGTGGCACCCTATTTGTGGCATTCCCTGCCTGCCCAGAGAGGCCTGGCTGATGTCAGTATTGCTATCCTTTCAATGCCAGGCACTTGTGCACTCTCAGGCTTTTAAATGTATTTGTCTTTTTAAGGTATTGTTGTTTATATTTTATTTATTCGCTTTATTATCTCATTTTTGTGAACTGCCCCAGAAAATTTGCTGAAGAGTAAAATACAAATATTTCAAATAGATGAATTCATCCACCTGGCAGTCAGGAAGAGTGGCACACATCTGTTCTCTGGTAATACTGAGGAAATACATTTTTACATGGATGCTTGAGTGCCTCAGCTGCTCAGCATGCCAATATATTTCAACTGCTTTCTATGTCAAAGCAACTTAAGACAACCCAATCATGCTAGGCATGCAGTTATGGGTATTTTGTATTTATGATTTAAAAGAATAGTATAAAATTCTTGAGATTTCAGGAAGCCTTTGTATGTCGGTGTTCTTTCATGTATTTATTACAGCTATTTATATCCCATTTTTGAGGCTGCAAATCCTTTGACTGCTGCTTATAAGTAACACCAATGTGTATTTTGAGAAGGGGAGGGGTGAGAAATGAGCAGTATCACCATAGAGCAAATTATAAGGAGGATTCCTAGTAGGCAGCTGGTGGTAGATAGCCTCATAAAAGGAGGAAACAGTCCAGCTGCAACAGGACTGGGTTCCTGATATTATCTCTGGCTGCCTCCCTTGCTTTTCTGGAATCCTTCCCACAGGTAAGTTGACAGTAGATGGCTCTGTGGGGGAAGGTGCAATCCAGCGGGAACTGCAGCATGCATTTAATGTTGTCCCTCCCCACAGGCCAGTTTGTGCCAGTTGCCCACGTAGCTGGAGCAGCCTGTGGAGACTTCTTCACCTCTCTGTCAAGCTCTCTTCCCATTTGACAGATTTTGATCCAAAGGGTTTAAGGCCACCCTCGAGCAGGACATTGGTTGCTTGCACTGTGGCACACAATGTATGAGAAACTGATTGACGTGTCAGTCTCTAAATACCTTGATGAGACTAAAAGGAGAATAGGTTATAGAGAGTAGAGAGCAAGCCATTTCTGCATACCCCTGTGTTTAATTTGTCACAAACCCTTTTTGAGACTAGTAATAGGTTACTGTTGCAAGTCTTCAGCTACCTTCTGCATACTAAAGTTTTCTGCAAATGGAAGTGGTTAAAGTACAGCAAAATGCTTTGGATTTATTTCCTCAACATATCAAATATCCTAACATTAAATTTATAAAAGTACTCTTATAGAGCAGCTATAAACAATAATTAGACACAAAACAATTAAAATTATGGCGGCACAGCTGACCATAGACTGGTAAAACTGGAGTTAAATCGATGCCTGGGAGACTTCTGTGTTTTAAAAGCTTTACCTGGCACGAGAAAAGGATGTCAAGCTGCTCACCACTCTGGAAAAAAATCAAAATCCAGGGTGAAAAGACCTTCCCTCTGGTCTACATTTGTTTTACCTCTGACAGCAAAAAGGGACTCGAGAAATGAGAGTTAGGCTAATAGCTACAGTACAAATGCCTAGAAATTTACTATGTAGGCTGGTTTTTCTGTTTTCTTCCTCTGCACACAGCCTATTTTGCATTACTATTCGAATGTTGCCTTCTGAGTGGCTATATTCAGACATAACATTAAATTTTAAAAAATCAGTTCCCAATCTTGAACATTTTTGTCATAATATGTTAGCCTTTTATCAATAATCATAATGGGAAAATATGATGGAATCAAGGATCACAAAGTCTGGCTTCGGGAAGCAGTAATTTATGTGAAGCTGGACTTTTCCATTGTTGGCTTGGGAAAGTAAATGTTCCCTCCATGCTGGTGCAGCTTGGACTTTGCATAGGTGGGTAGTAGGAGCTCTATGCTCATAGGGGCTTGAAGAAGACAATAGAATGCTTGAGGAATTTGACTCTACAAAAAAATATTGATCTGATTTGCACCTCTCTCTCCCTGAATTTTATGAAACAGTTTTCAGCTGAAACACACACACACACACACACACACACAGTGATAACATTTTTTTGATGCATTTATCACAAAGTGTTTTGATTGCATACATACTTAATTACAAATGTTGTGCAGTTGTTGTTTTAATTGCAGAGAAATGTGGAATTGGGATGGAATGGATTTGGGGCTGAACACAGACAAGCAGAAACAGATCAGAAATATAATGATCTATTTATCCCTAGCAGCTATTAGAAAAAGTCCCTTGCAGGCTTGGGGAACCTTATGGCCTTCCAGATGTTAGACTCTGACTCCTATCAGCCAAGTCACCATAGCCAATTATCAGGGTTGATGGAAGTTGCCAAAGGTTTCTCCACCCTGGTCTGCTGCTAGTCTAAGGCATCTGTTCTTGGGTCCTTTAAATTGTAAGCGATCACCTTCAAAAGGACCCTGAACTTGTACATGCAGAGACAAATGCAACTGCAGCTTTCATTCACAGTTTATATGATACTAGAAAAAATGCTGTGTTATGTATTAAAAGTGACCCAAGAAAATGTTTTGTTACATTTTGAAGGGTATACCTTTGGTGCATTGCACAATAAGCAAGTGATTTTAAACCTTCCGTGTTGACTTAACAGGGAAATAGCATGAGTGATAGCTCCAGTGTGGTTTTTAGATGTGTGTTCTTACTTTGCTTCACTATACATACAGGGTAATCAAATGTTCTGTTCAGCAGGAGGCTTTTTCAACTTGATCACTATTAAAGCTGAAAGGTGGGTGTCCTTGAATCTGCCCTACTGTCAAGCATCAGCTGAAGTTGATGGCTTCAAAGGAGAGATTCATACTAATATTTCCCAATATTTCTGTGACAAATAAAATACTGATGAGCACACAAATCCAGTGGGGTGTTTCTGTTTTTATTTTTCAGCAGCATAATCTGTCTCTTTAAAATAAAATCATGTGTAATACAGTATTGGAGGACGCAGCTGGCAGTGTGTGGGAAATAAATGTTTGAAGGATGTTTTCCTCATGGCATCTTTGCAGTATTTCAGCTCAGCCATTCCTCATAATACTAAACATCAATTTTTACCTTATCTGCTTTGTCCCACTGTTATGATATTTTTTAAAAGCAGGTGAAAAATGATGCTTTCGTTGGCAGGACTTTTGTTTGAATAAGCATACTGTATTCAAAGTCTGGAAGTTATGATATGGTGTCTCACGTTGTGCTTCAAAAATGGGTGCAATTTGCTTATTTTGTGAAATAAGAAAAGCCTACTATACACAAGCTACTACAAAATTGCTATCCCTTGAACGTTGGAAGTCTACCTCAGCCTCCTTTAATGTCTGATATTTCACCAAACATTTTTTACAAGCTTATTTTCTGAACCATAAGGGATAAATGGGTGTTTCTGTTATTCTTCTGCAAAAGGTAATATCTTAGAATGACAAAAACAAAATTCACTTATTAAAGGTGTAACTGCAGAAGCACAGAAAATATCACAAACATGGTTATCACATTTAATCAGACAAATTAGTTATATTTAGGTTTGAAGAATTAAAGGTAGCATTTTTTGCAGTTCATCTTCTTTAAGTTGTGCATTCTTGTCCTTATTGAGGCATCTGCATTATAAGCATTTTGTGGTAGTTTTCCTACAGACACAGTAGCTGTCTAGTTAGGGTACTTGGCTGTGTTCCCAAAGAAGTAAACTGGATTTTGATTGGTCTCACCCTAAATGGCCTTTTCTCAGTTTGGCCTGCTGTCTAAGAAAATGATGACAAGGTAGGCCTTCAGGGGGACTTAAATGTAGTAAGAGAGGTCTAATCTTAAATGAGCCACATGAAAAAGTAAGCAATATATTCCTAATTCTATATGATACTAAGCTTCACCTGAAGAGCGTTTAACACGGACCAGTAATCTATGTGGTCTACATGTGCATTGAACTGTGAATTGAGTATTTCAGTTTGGGACGATTTATTTCAGGGAATGAGGGCTGCGATAAAACAGGTTACACTTGAAAGTGTGTATCTTTGCACAGGTCTTTGCTTACAGATAAACCTTTAATTTGGGGGTTGTTTTTGATAGGATGTCGGTGCCAAGCTTGACAAGCAGGTGATAGAGAACCAGCAGATAACAGCAGAGCAACCTACAGAAAATGTATGTATTATACTCCAAATGGTTTCTTACTCATTTATTTTATTATTATTAACAATTTATTATTATTCTTATTATGTATATGTGCGTCTGGTTTAACAAGTTTCTCAAGGTGATTTACAAACTTAAATGTAAAAATGACAGAGAGGAAAAAACAATGGAAGAGAAGGTTTTAAAAAATTACAAACACCTAAGCTCTCAATGACTTCATCTAGTTCTTAAATAGCACTGGAGACAATGCAGTGCTCCATGGCACCACATAGGTCAAAAGCGAGTGGGGGTGGTGAAATAGGAGATAAGGTTGCAACTGTTGCAGAACCATGGCCCCAATCTCTCATAGATGGTCCAGGAAGATGCCCTCCAAAGCTGGTATGAGGTTGTGGAGGAGCTGCAGCATAGTGCTCCTTTTCCCTCTCCCTCATCCATCCATGTAACGAAGGCTGATTCAATCCCAAATCTGGATTTGAAACCAGATTAAAATGTCCCCAAATAATGACTGCAATCCTCTTGAGTAGGACCTTGCACCCAAAGGCCATATTTACAGCTGGACAGTAGTTGTTTGCTATTTAGTTCAGGGTGAGTTTTCCTTTCAGGGAAATGCAAGACATTTATCACACCCTGGGCTCACCCATTCATGCCCCTTCATGCCCCTTCCATCTAGCTTTAATGAGCCATGAAAGGCAAGGGTGAAGAGGGCACATCCTTGGGCGCTTACTCCCAAGCATCTGGTCAGTGTCATCAGGCTGCAAAACCCAAAGCTGATACCACAAAGCACATCTGACTCAGAGCTGCATCAGTTACGGCATCTAGCTCACTACAGAGGTGAACAGCTTCTTCCTCAAAATGCCCAGCAAGCAAATCACAGAGGGTTTCTGGGGTGTCCTGGGCTCCATCACCAATATAAGTGTCAAGACTTAAGAACCGTCCTGACAAGCTCCATTGCAAATGGTTGAAAGACATGGCAATAGAAGCAATGAAATGGCCCCTCTTTGTTGCTTTTACTACCACACAGTAGGTACAGTTGTGGGCTCTTGTAGCAGACCTCTTTTAGCTCAGAAAAAGTACACTTTTATTTAGTTTATAATAGCAAGCTTTTAAATGACCTAGTAAAACAGCCAGAAATAATAATGGAAAACATGGAACTGTTGTAAAACACTTTCAAGATTTTACCAAAGCTCTTAAACTTTATGGTAAATAATGTTTCAGTAGTATGTTCTCTGACCAAAATTTTTGAAATTGCAGCATCAGAGGTAAGTAGATTATTACTTCTAAAGTTGTTAGATGTTATTTTACGCTCCCCACTTCTGATCTACATAAAAGATCTCTGTACTGTAGTTTCAACTTCTTGTTTGGGTTTTAGGAGGCTTAACAGTTCAATGTCTTTGATTTATCCCCCCCCCCTTTTCCCTTCCAGTTTCGTAACCAATTAAAGCAATCAAAGTCTTCAGCAGTAATCCCTATCAGTCTACACAAGATATCCTTGGCTCCGGCACCTTCTTATTCTCCAGAGACAGAGTTCACCAGCAGAAGTATGAACTTCTTACTTCTATCTGAAGAAAATACCTTTCATTCAATACCAAGCTTTTTAGCATGATAATAGCATGCAATGTTTTCTTTTCTTTTAATTTAAAAGTCTAGATTAACAGCTACAGTGCCGTTTACTTTTACATGCAATTGATTTAATGTATTTTTTCTTAGAACATTTCATGTAACAAACCTGTTTTATCTACCACCTCACTCTGCTGCATGGAAAGACCAGGCGTTGTTGTCCTCCTTCACTCATAAGAATGATGCATGAGCAGTATAACTGCTGAGATCAGGGGTCAGAAATCTCAGCCATGCTAATTCTGCAATCACCAAAATTCCATAATGTATTAATAAATAACAGAGGTTGCCACAGCTGAGAATTGTGAACTTCTGTCACACTGCTTGTATGAATAAACCAATATTATGAGTAAATAAACTTGTCAACAGCAGTGAAAAGCAAGATCTTGACTGCCCTTCAGGTAGCAGAAGATCCAGAAGAGGATCTGATGTGTGAGTGTGAGCGAGCATGTGTGTGCAGCTAGATATAACAAGTGCCCTAGCTTATCAGAATGGTGTGTCACCTTCCCTAAACGTTAACTTGCATGTGAATTGTGAAATTGCATCCAAAGCAGCAGACCTCAAATCACAAGAATTTGATGCAGGTGCACACCAAATTTCGACACTGAGTTTATTCCTCTGCAGCTTCTTTCTTTGTTTGGCAATGGTGCTTTTGTTCACTGGTACATTTTATCATTTGTTGCAGGTGGCTTTCCGCTTCCTCTGGTGGATCCAGCGACATGCCCAATAGTTCCTGGACAAGAAATGACTATAGAAATCTCCAAGGGGCGATCAGGCCTTGGTCTCAGTATTGTAGGAGGAAAGGATACACCACTTGTAAGTTGTTTGGTGGTTTTGGAATACTATTTTAAGTTTTCATGAATCTCAAAGCTACTCCATTTTTGGTACAATGAAAGAAAGAAATGTGGACATTCCATAATACATGTTTGACATGTACGCTTGGATGTTCCTTTAACAAAGGACACTGGTGGATACTAATATAGCCACAAATTTAATGAAAGCATGTCATGGCCAATATGTATGAGTAGATGTATGATCACCTTCTTATAGTCTAAGCATTCTCTGTTGTGCATGTCTTTAAAACACAAGAAGCTGCTATTTTACTTATTGCTTATATATTTAGCTTATTTCCCACCAATTAAAAATGAATTCAATGTGAATAAAAATGGTAATTTAGGTAGATACAGTAAGCCATTAATGTTCTATTCATTAGGAGTAATGCATAGATCACTCCAGCTTAGCTTTTCCTTGTTCACAAATCTTTGACTTGCTGTTACACCTGAACTAATTCAATTTTGTATACTTTTGCTCCAAACAAGCATTTTAGTTGCATTTTAGTAAGTCAAGAATAGACCTTCTCTTCAGTAAATGGTTTGTTTGAAGCAAACAAAACAGAATTCTATTACAAATATAGAATTAGCAGAAATTTCAGTGTGAAAAGTTATAGAAAATGAAGAATACACTCCATTTGATTGGGGCCTTTCAGCCTGGCTACCAACACATAATATGGCTAGGAAAGCAACAGCTATAATTAAAATGTATATGAGAGAAAGCAGCAGTCAATATACCAAATCACATAACCTCATTTCCTTGCCATCCTCTTCATAAGAGCATTAGAAGATTGCTGCTGGAGCAGACCAAAGACCCAGAGGCTAGCGTCCTGTTCCTACACTGGTCAGCCACATGCTTATGGAAAGCCCACCCAAAAAAGAGATGAAGGCAATAACTCTTTCCTGCTGTGATTCACTAGCAAGTGGTGTTCAGAGTCATGCTGCCTCTGATCTTGGAGATAGTATATAGCCATCATGAGTATTAGCCTTTGACAGCCTTATCCTCTATGAATTTGTCTAATCCCCTCTTAAATCTATCTAAGTTGTGCATAAATTCCCTTAACGCAGCATAGCTTAACCTTAACTGTACACACTATGCACGTAGCTTGATCTGCTGTTGCATATTTGATGCTTCCTTTTTCTGATGAATGTCGAGTACCAGACACGTGCGCTTAGATTTTCTCTTACGTATATGGTTAAAAGATAGGGGCAGGAGACTAAATATAATAGCTTTTTGCACCAAAGATAAGCTTTTGAAAGTGTGAACTTCAGTATCAGTGTGAAAATTGCATAAAATCACTGGAGGTGTAAAAACATACGTAGGTTCTTATTAGAAATATGTGAAAACTGTTCCCATGGATTAACAGATTTCTTCATTGAAAAATCCCACTTTGAAAGTTTGACTTTCGTTGTCAAAATGGAGATAGAGAGTTCCCATCTTTGGATGATATTACTTGGGTAACGTTGGGCTTTTTACAAAATAATCATGTTTTGTACAGGAGAAATGAAATTTCTACCAGCTTCCTGTCTGCTGCCTCCTTGCTCTCCACAGGACGCTCTCCTTGCTCTCTCCAGTCTCTCAGAAGACTGGAAAAATATGGTTCATATTTTTTGCCCGTTGCTATGTCATAAAGCTGCAGTTTAGCAAATTTCATCCTTTTGAGACCAGGGCCCCACCTTCAGTCCAAACAACCATTTGGGCACCAACTTCTTAATTTTTTTAAAAAATCATTCGTTTCTATGTATGATAGGAATGCTGTAGCTACGAGCCATTTTAGGCCAAGCTGCAGCCTGGTATTTGGTCCTGATTCCCCTGTTGAAGACTAAAGTATAGTTTGTACAACAGCAAATCTACACAGCTATCATTAGGCTGTAGGACTGGATCTTACGACCTTCATATAACAAGGGGGGGTCTGGAAAACTGATTGTAAGAGAAATTCTTCTCCTGCTTTGTGGCCATTCCAGCTGCATTTTTCACTATTCTTGTGAAAATTATACAGTTATGGGAGCATGCTTAATAAAATTTAAACTGCTTTTTTTAATTCGGTAAATGCATTAGCAATTTGACCACACACCTTCTTCCTGTATGTAGCCTTAAGCATTTTTTTCATTCAGCAGTAATTTGTACTGCAAATGAATCCAGTGTTCTGTAAATACATGATCACTCATTGCATAGAAACAAACCAGAAGTTTGACATGAGACCTTGACTTTTTGCTAAAGCAGAGTGGTTGTAAATACTGTTAGCGGGACTGCAAAGGAGGAAGCATCAAAAAAACCCAACTCCATCCATATCTTTATCACAATACTTGCTTTCAGGCAAGGATATTAATATTTTCCTCCTCCTCCATGTCTTTCTCACTTCATGTCACCTTGCCCTGAGTGATGTAGTGCTATTTCATTTAAATGTTTTTTAAAACTGAGCACATTCTGTGACCTGCTGACTGCTCTTCCTGTGATGAATAACTTTATACAGAAAGCAAATTCCATGTTACTGAATAAATGAAACCTGTTCATTTTCATTAGAATTAGCTCTGAAAGCCACTCTGGAGCATTATTTTGTGTAGATTTTACTGTTCCTATCACATGCTTATGTGCTTAAGACTCAGTAAAAACGTGCTAAAACATATTTATAAATCACTATTTCGTTGAAAAGATCAAAGCAGGTAACAAAAATACATAAACCCATACAGTAAAAACCATATAAAGAGGTTAAAACAGACATCAATTAACTATTGTGGAAAGATTTATTCTTAATTGCCTGCGTAGGACTAGCAGTGGCTGGGGCAACCCAGTCAGATGGGCAGCAAATAAAATAATAATAATAATAATAATAATAATAATAATAATAATAATTAATAGCAGCAGCAGCAGAATACAGAAGTTGTCAGCTGGCCTTTAAAAGTTGAAACAGAAACTACCTGCTTAATCTTTCTTGGTAAAGCTTTCCACCGGTAGAGCCAGTTTCCATTGGGAGAGCCATTGCGTGGCTATTCCCTCCCCCCCACAGGTGGAATAAATGAAGACAACGGACACAGAGTTTTTAGGTTAATGGGCGAAAATGGCCACAACTTTATTGATTACAGGAAAGAAAGGGTATTGGCTTTAGGCATTGGCCCCTAACCGACTATCCGGTCTAACCGGGAAGGGTTAAACGCCACAGGGGGAGCTACCCGAGATGCGTATCCCTAGGCGCTCCCCGAGGGGTTACCGCTCGGGGGCGCGCTTTAGGCCCTAGCCTCCGTAGGTTTCGGACGAGGCGTCGCCCCTCGGAGTCCTTTAACGAACTACCCTTCAAGCATTGGGGGAGGTGATGGCGTTCCTCCCCCCCAACCTCATCTGCATGACAATTAGCCCGGCCAATGCCTACCGCCAAAACCGAGGGAGTTGTGACGATTTGCTACGAGGTAGGCGAAAAAACCAAATGGCTCACAAAACCAGCCAATTAGCCAGATGGAAAAACTCCTACCAGGCCCCTTGCGGCGACCAGCCGAAGCCCATAGCAAGGTCAGTGGCAAAACCTAGAGGGCGGGTGGGTGGGAAACCGCGTCGTCTCCCAGGGAAAAAGGGGCGAGCCCAGGGCTGCCCCGACCTTAAGTGGCCTTACGAAGGCCCGCCCCTGCCGCCAGCCGATTGGCTGGCGCCACAGGGGATGCTAATGGGGGGAATCCCTGCTGCCTCCCGCGAGGCTGGCGCCAGCCTCGCGGGAGCGAGTGTGGGCGGGGTCGTGATCCCGCAACCCCCCCTCCTCCTGACGCTCGGAAGGGGCATTATATCCTAGTTATAAAGGCTTTGGGTCTTCTTGTTGTCAAATTAGCCTTTCCAGCTCGGGGAGTGACCAACAGTGCTCCTGCAGATTATCTCCACAATCAAACTAGGATATAATGGTTCAGGTGATGTAAATTATGTAAATCAATGCAAGGACCATGAGCCTGTCTCAGTAGTAGATGAGCAGCCTGTGCAACTTCCAAACCAGACCCATGGGCAGCCCCACATAGAACGCATTACAGTAATCCAGTCTTGAGGTTATCACTGCACGGACCAAAGTGGGCAGGGTATCTCTGTCCAGGAATGGCTTTAGCTGGTGAACGAGGCAAAGCTGGTAAAAGTCGCTCCTAGTCACCGAGGACATTTGGACCTCTGGTAACAACGATGTAACTAGGAGTACCCCCAAGCAGCACACCTGCTCCTTAAGAGGGAGTGCAGCCCCACCCAGAACAGGTACCTTGTATAGTTCCCAAATGTGGGAAACCACCCAAAGAGCCTCCTTCTTCAAGCATAGTTTATCAGCCCTCATGCATTCAGATGCCAATCCAGAGCTTTCACACCCTTTCCAATGTTATGGAGAAATAGAGCTTTGTGACATGAGCATCCTGGTTGTCAAGAATCTTTTTTCTACCTGTTGTACCAAGGATGGGACACAGACAGCGCTCTCAATTTATGACCTTATAGGCACTCCCTAGTCTTAGAAGCAGTGCTCTTGTTGATGCAAGCTAGAACGATGTTGACCTTGTCATGACACAGCATGCTTTTGATTGATGCTCAGTTCTTTGCTCATTATAACCCCTAAACCAACGTCAGAAATGTGGCTGCCTAGACATTTATTCCTATTTTATACTTGTCCCTGCATTTCTTCCCATATTCTTTCTTCCTGCCAAATTTAACCTTCTGTTGCTATCTGCACAGCTCTCTGGTTTTTAAATACAGTTTTTGAATTCTTAGCTTATCCTCCAGAGTATGTGCATCCTTCTCAATTTTGTATGGCTGGTTGTTAAAACTGATAGCTTGGGAATATTCCGTGGGAGTATGTGGCATTCCATTTCAAAACAAATGGCATTGCTGGTGAAATGATAAAAAATGTGCTGTTTGAAGTGTTCCCCCTCCTTTTGGGGGGGGGTGTCTACTGCTGACAATAAGTGTATATCACTGAAACATTCCCTAAAGCAACATCTGCTGCCGCCTATATTTTCCAGCCTTGGTAATAAAGTTAATATATTTTTCAAATTCATTTATTGTGGTGGATTTAACTTGCAGCCATGCTGTACAAGGCTGAACACCCCTGTGAAGGCCTTAAAACAGCCATTACTCATAACACCATGGTTTTAAATTATATATTATAAGTTTATATTAAATTATAAAAGTTAAGCATGCAGGACTGAAAATGCAAGTTGACTTGGAGTTCAGATTTCACTCATGCCTAGCTGTGTATAATATGGTGGAAGTATTACACAGAATAATTAGCCAAATTATGGCTAATGTTAGCCAAAATCTGGATTCTTGCACTGAAAAGAGGAAGAAACCCCCTTTTACCTTAGTGGCTATGGCAGATATAATGCTGTAATAAAAATACACAATCCTAAAGTCTGAAATAATGTCAAAACCAGCACTGCAAAGTAGACCCAGAAACAAATTGGCAACCAGTGCTGCTAATCACAGTACACTTTGAGGCTATAGAACTGCATGTTCCTTTCAAAGTGAATTTCATCCTCTTTCAACAGCATTAACCCTGATTAGAACTTACTGACCAGGTTTCCCCCTTAACAAATACGTGAAAGCATGGTATGAAGCTGGTTAAAGTTGCCCACTATGTGGTTATAGTTGTTCTGGGGAAATGTGTGCCTCTGTGAGTGATCTTGCAACACACTCGGTATTTTGCCACAATGGTTAAGAGATCATCAGTGTAATATATGTGACTGGGGCAACCCAGTCAGATCGGCGAGGTACATGAAAATAATGATGATAGTAAAGGTCACAGTATTTTCATGTCAGTTCTGCATTCTGGACTGTAGTCTCAGAACTTACTTTTAATGTGCAAGCATTGATACTGAGATTATGTGTTCCGTTAGGATGCTATTGTTATACATGAAGTGTATGAAGAAGGAGCAGCGGCTAGAGATGGCCGACTTTGGGCTGGTGATCAAATCCTTGAGGTAAGATTCATTATTTAACTCTTCAAATATTTCTCTGTTTCATACAAAGCCAATATTTTAAGAGGGAAAACTATGCATTGTGCAAGAAACATGGCTGAAATAATCGACTTATTCCTCTAAATAATAATAGATAATGTGCTTTTTATCTACTTCATCTACTTAAAATGTTGAGGTCCATACACATCTATTGATCAGATTTCTTCAACATTTAGTATTTCAAAAAATACATATGTATATTTAGCACATCGCAACTATATAAAATACAGGCGAAACCATATGAATGCAAATTATGAACATATTGTAAACATAAATACTAAATATTAGAGAAGAAACTCATACAAACTTTCATTTAGCAATATTCATTGCCAAACAACTTTTTCCTTTTCATCAGATATGCAACAGCATTTTCATGTTCGATTTAAAAATTTAGACAGTAGGCATTAGTGTCATGAGATGATAAATGTTATATCACTTTTCACCATATGTCACAAAATTATTTTTATTTACCATCTTTCTTTTTGATGAGCTGTCAGTTTAACCTTATTTACCCAGCCCATTTTGATTTAAGTATTTCAAATTATTTCTGAACCCTTAAAATCTTGTATCTATTAACTGAAAGCAGAAGCTGTTTTTATCTTCTGTAACTTATCTTCATATCAACTGAGGCTATGTTTTTACAAGCCACTTTATAAACATTACTGATTTTTCATGTGTCTTGCATTAAGATATCAGGTAAGGAAGGGTTAAGAAAAAAGTTGGCGTTTGATTGTAGCTTAGAAAAGAAGTCCATTCATGATGGTTGCAGAGTGGATAGAAGTACCTCACTGTCAAGGCAAGAGAAATTCCCAGTACACCTATTAGGGCTTCCATGTAAGGAGGTTAGGAAAACAATGAGGGCTGCTTGGGAATTACCCTTAACAGCTCTTTCACCGAATGTTTCTTGTTTTGGCTGCTATTCCTATTTTGGCTGCTATTCTTAAATAACAGTTGTGTATCACAGTAATGTGTCATTAATAGCAGAATGGACATATCAACCAATAGATTGTTAATGGACCATACAGGAAACATGTTTGCAGACCCAGGTGCAAAAAGCGCGTGCATGTGGCGTGGCGCAGGGCCAGCCAAGGGTAGAAATAAGACACAGGACATCAGTATTGAATTGAAACTGGCCACAACTTTTATTGATTACAGCTGTAAGTAGGTTTTGACGAAGGCAATGAGTATCAACCAACCCTCCTACTGGTTGATTAAAAAAACACACCTAGATCGAGAGTCACCCTATGCCATACATCAAATTAGAGTGAACCCATTAGGGCCGTCACCTGGAGGTGTGCTATGGTCCATCAGTGGCCATGTGGACTCCTGGGCAGAAGCACATTTTCCCAGTTCGCTTTAGTGGGGTATACAATAAGCTAATGATCCAACCTAATGACTTATCTGCCCAACGTTGTGATGATTGCTCTGAGGGAGGCAAAAACCCACAGCCTGGCCAGTTGGTCTGCAGGAACAAAATTATTCCCTGGTCCCAAATTCAGCAATTTATTATTCCATAGCAAGGTGTCCCCCCCCCCGACCTGCTCGCTCAACTTTGGGTGGACTAATCAGAGGCCTATAACTTACAGTGGTACCTTGACTGTCGAACGTAATCCATTCCGGAAGACTGTTTGACTTCCAAAACATTTGACAACTGCGGCGCAAAGGGCGGTCGGCAAAGTCAATGGAGAAAAAAGAAAAACACACAGCAGAAGCTGTTTGACTTCCAAAGCGCATTCGAAAATGGAAGCAATTACTTCTGGGTTTTCAGCCTTTGAAAACCGAAACATTTGGCTTCCAAGACGTTTGAAAACAGAAGTACCACTGTATAATGAATAGGCAAACTTGAGTGAAGCCAGAACGGCTGCCGCAAGCACACCCGTCAGCTCACTATGATTGGCCCATTTAAATGGGTGCACCAAGCGATGTGGCCCTGTGGAGAGGCTCTGCCATCCCCCAATGGCCACATTGTGCAGAATTTGGCCCCAAGACTGGGCCGTATCAGACCACAAGCCGCCACTCCCCTGGAGTCTCAGGTATGCGGCCGTTGCATGCCCTGGTGCTTGGTACAGTTTGTGGCCATTAGAACTCATCTAAGAATTCAGTGTAGATTCATTTAGGTTTTATTGATTTGCCTTGTCAAAGCCAGGCATATGAGCATGGATGTCTGTATGCACATGAACACGCACACATCCATGCCTCACCCCATACTTTCTGGTTACAGTACTTGTAGGTAGCATGTCTTTTTATTTTTCTCTGAATTCACAAGGTGCATGTGCATTTGCATATTTCTTTTCACAGTGCATGTTTGCACTGAGATTTTGCAGGTTGTCAGGTGTATGTCTAATTGCTGCAGTCCGCACATACTAAAGTCTTCAGCCAACACTGGCCCTCCATCTCTCTATACCGCAGAGAGCTAGATCAGCACAGGCTGAGCAGGCTTTGTGGCTCATTTTATGATGAAGGCTAAAGTTATTTTTGTATGGAAGAGGTTCAACAATAAAATGGGTTATCGGGTATCTGTTGCATATTCTCCGCTGTTTCCAAGAGAAATCATGTAATCAGTGGCATTGCGGTCCTGGGATGAAAACAGGGGATGAGACACCTGGATAATAACTGGCAACATTTCAAGGTGAAATCAAGTGCTATTCATCTAAAGGAAGCCAACATCCATGTGCTTTATAAAAACAAGGTTCTTAATTTTGCCTGGTGGGCAAGAGGGTGGTGACCGATAGGCCAAAATCTGTTTGGAAAGATTTATTTTAAATGCATCATCAGAAAACCAGTGAATGCATTTTGGTTTATAAAACGTATAAGCATAATAGTATCAAGGGCACATTATACATGATTGAATTATTGAGAAAGGAAAATACTATTACATACAATATGAAGCGTACAATATGCAAGATTAAAGTTATCTACAATTTAACCATTGCTGAGGGCTGCAGTGCTCCACCAAAACTCTGCTAGCTAAAGTTTACTGCATAATCCCATCTATCCTTTGAGTTTAAGAGAACATAGCTACCAGTCCAGAGTGAAATTCTGGGAATCAGGCTCCTGTGGGCTTTGATTCATGTTACAAGAGATCACTTTGGTGTCCAGGGTAAAGCAAACAGAAAATTAGTCCAGGTAAAAACTAAAGAAAATGTTTAAAAATAAAATAGTGATCCTGACTCTGTTCATTAAACTGAAATGTTTTAACTGTAGCATTAGTTTTAAGAGCAATTTAAAGTTGCAGTGGTGGTCTGGTGTGCCATCTATTGGAATCTAGAAAAATTATTCTCTTATGATTCAAATTATCGAATTGCCTAAATCTTAACAGAAAAAGAACATTGGTTACAAATTAATGGCTAAACAGCTACTGGTATATGAGTTCTAACATGTTTACAAAAATGGAGAGTCTTAACCCTCCAAATCGTAAGCAGATATTAAGACTACATCCCTCTGCTTTGGTGGCTAGTGTAAAGAATAATGGGAAATTTGCATTTTCAAGGTGGTCTCAGAATGGTATGTGTACTTTTTAAGGCATCAGCTGGGGTTAAATAGACCGGTCTATTTCTGTCCAGTTTCAGTTTTGCTGACACAGAATCATAGGTCCATTCTGTCCAATTGTGTGGATTTTTTAAAAGAATACACAGAAAATCTGCATTTAAATTGTATCCATTTTATATGCACTTTCTATGTAAAATACACTTTTTCCAATGCATTCTCCCCATGAAATATCCATTTTTGTGAACATTCTTTGCACACTGAAACCACATCACAAAATGTAGAGAAGTGCACAATCTAACTGGAAGTTGTGTTCTGATCAATGACCAAGTTTGGGAATGTTTGAATGAGCCGGTCCACTGTGAAAAGTGGACCAATCAAAACCATCTTCCATCCCTACGACCATTTTTTTAAGCAAGTAAATCATTGTTGCTTAAATTTATTACCCACCCTGGGTTCCTTAGGATGAAGGGTGGGTGATGGATGATGATAATTACTCTATATTTCAAAAAGTAGTCTATTGAATAGACTTTGGACATGCTGAATTTGTACTATAAAATGCTAAGAAAGTTTCCCATAGAACTCGTACAGGGATCCATGGATGATAGTTCTTCCTAATGTATGCTTAAAAATTCTTACTTCATCAGAAACTAAAAAAGGATACTATGTATGTTCATGACCAAACATTTTTTAAAAATGGTTATGCTTCAGATAAGGTAAACATAAAGGTAACTGACCACATTACAGAGTACTGTTATAAATTGGGGGAGGGGGCAAGGATCCCCTAAACTCCTGGCTGCTAGATTCTCCCCATAATTCCTGGATTTATTAAAAGTTGGAATTAATCAAGGTTTTATTAAACTGTGCCAAACTCCGCTGGATTCATCTTATGCTAATGAGTCAGGCCAGCCTGGGATAGCCAGCTGAGTGTGGGTCATAGGAGGAACAAAGATATTAATGGCCAAGCTATTGATCCATCCAGAAAGCTGTTAGGAGGGTGAAGACTATGCCAGACCAGGAGGGGTGGAGCCCCTCCTCCAGCCATAGGCGCCGACTCCATGGGGCTTGAGGGGGCCCGAGCCCCCTCAAAAATTCGTTTGGGGGGGCTCCGCCCCCCCAATAATCTCCGGCGCCCCTCCAGCAGAGCGCCATCGCCGCCCCTCCCCCAGCCCAAAATGCACAGGGAGGGGCGGGCTGCATGCCTCCTGCCCTCCCTCCCGAGCAAAAGCTCCACCCAATTTCCTTTGGAGCTGATTAATAGGCGCAGCACGCTCTCCCCTATTTGCTCACGAGGAGGCGGCGCCACTTTATTTGCATATTCATGAGCTTATTTATTATTCATGAGCTTTCCCCCCCCCCCAATATTTTTTATAAGTCCGCGTCCCTGCCTCCAGCTGTGTGTTAGTGGGAAGAGACAATGGGGGTTTAAAGGGTGTAGGATTTCAGTTTGGATGATGTAAGCTTAACGGGAGAAATGTGAGTTTTGCAACCTGGATGGGGGCCAGAGCTCAAGGCGGGCTGTCTTGTTTTATACTGCAAAGAGGGTCAGACACAATGTTTGGAATCTGAGGGTGCAACAGTGGAAAGAACAGGACCCTATCGGGATATGAATGCTCTGCACTCTCCATCTAAGCACAGGTTGTGTATATGTGTAAATAACCAGATTCTGCTGTGCCTCATTGTCCAAAAGGAAACACATACCCTGGTGCCTTGCAGCATTTGGAGATCAGGGTGGCATGTGACAATAGTATGCTAGAGGACCTCTGGCCTCTTCTAACCTTGCTTTTCTATAATTGCAACCTAAAATGAAATAATACAATGAATTGTATTAATCAGTGAACAAGAATGACTAGCATAAAGTGGAAGTTCTGGGATTTTGCAGTGGGACTCTTTCAGACCTCCTGGCTACATGATTTTGATCATGAAATGCTGCTAAAGTGTTGCTTCCTTTATTCATATGACTTCTTTAACGATAGAAATTGTGATTTGTTCTGAAGGATTGCTTTGCTAGACTAATTAAAAAAAATAAAATCCAATAAGCAAAGAATATAATATGCTTCTGTTTTATTCTAGGTTAATGGCATAGACTTGAGGAATGCCAGCCATGAAGATGCTATAACAGCCTTGAGACAGACGCCTCAGAAAGTACAACTGGTTGTGTATAGAGATGAAGCTCATTATAAAGATGAAGAGAATTTGGAAATTTTCCATGTAGACTTACAAAGAAAAATGGGCAGAGGCTTAGGGCTAAGCATTGTTGGGAAACGGTAAGGGTTACACTTAATCATAGCTCTGTGTGCAGAACATTACAGAGCCTTGTCTTCTCTTAAACTGAAGATCCCTCCACAGAATAAGCTGCAAAGATTATGTGCTCTTTCAGAACAGGTGCAATATTTGTAATGGGTGTTACACCTTTAGCTTTTCTACAAGTAGAAAGGTGAAACATGCAAGTAGATGCATTATACCTGAATCCGATTTTCCTTTTACATTTAGGAGGACAAATGTAGTACCTGAGAGCTACTGTAGTGTAATGACAGCTGCCAGTCAGAATGTCACCTCAGCTTCTGACTCACGAGGCAACCTTAGGCAAGCTGTTAACTCTCTCAACACCCTATCTAAAATATGGAAGTAATAATGTTGACCGTCGTATATCGATTTCTGAGAGTACACTGATAGCAAGAATGATTTAGCCACATAAGAAAACCAGTGTTTTCATTTTAAGACCAGTGTGTGGTCTGATGAACAAGCATTAAGAGGAATAGTTTAGTCGGTTGACAACATGAGACTCTTAATCTCAGAGCTGTGGGTTCGAGCCCCACATGGAGCAACAGTGGGTTGGCCTAGGTGATGCTTATGGTCCCTTCCAACTCTATAATTCTTCTGTGATTCAAGTAGCTGCTCCTTAAAACTCAAGACAGGATTTGTATTGTGTTGCTTGTCCTGGATAAAGGTAAAGGTAAAGGGACCCCTGACCATTAGGTCCAATCGTGACCGACTCTGGGGTGGCGGCGCTCATCTTGCTTTATTGGCCAAGAGAGCCGGCATACAGCTTCCAGGTCATGTGGCCAGCAGGACTAAGCCGCTTCTGGCAAACCAGAGCAGTGCATGGAAATGCCGTTTACCTTCCCGCTATTTATCTACTTGCACTTTGACGTGCTTTCGAACTGCTAGGTTGGCAGGAGCTTGTCCTGGTTAGCAATATCTAAATGCCTATATTCCTAGGAATTGTATGTACCTTTTAACAATTATTTATTTGCTTGTTACAGTTATATCCTATTGGTTAATAATAATAAAATCCACAACAGAAAATTACCAGTATACATAGCTCATTAAGCAGTAGTACAACCATAAAAATCAAATAAGAGCAGATAAAAAGTCTAGAAAGGGGGGGGGATATCATTAGATATCTAGAATAAAATGCAGAGCAACAGAGAACATACAATGTGCAAATTGTTTTTAGAAAATATTTTTAGTGGTGCAGCAATGTGCTTCTTTTCAACTGTTAGAAATGGAAGTGGAGTATTTATCTCTGACGTCGTAAAAGGAGGAGCCGCTGACCTTGATGGGAGACTAATTCAAGGGGATCAGATCTTGTCTGTCAATGGGGAGGATGTAAGGCATGCGTCACAAGAGGTGGTTGCTACAATTCTTAAGGTAAGTGCATAGTGTATTCTTGAGCACTAAATCATGTTTACAAGGTTTCTGGAAACCGATTTTTTTTTTTACGTTACCATGTGGTTGTGGTTTAGGCAAAAGTATGATTGTTTGCATGGGGGTGGGGGTAATATATCTAGGGGGGAAATTAAAAAGCCACCAGAGTGTAAATGCTGTACGTTTCTTTGCATATCCAAAGTGTGCCCAAGGGCTTGTACAACTAGAGATTGGACGACTGAAAGCTGGATCTTGGCTGTCATCACGGAAGACATCTCAAAACAGTCAGGTTAGTGGCAGATGGTGCATTAATAAGAAATGGGAAGCTGATGATAGAAAACTCAGGATGTGAAGATTTGACCTTGTCAGACGTAACTCTGGAAATTGGTCTTACAACCCAGCTATAGCCGTAACCCAGAGAGTCACGCTTGTTGTTTCAATATTTTGGGTGACCCAGATGTCTGTGTATTAACCATTGGACAATACAACCACCTTAAGAGACAGAAAATGGCTTGGCATTCCATTTCATAATACATGGACAATTTTACTGTGCACTTGTACTTTTTTAAAATGAAATCAATAATTGCACCGACAGGCTGAGAACAATAGATTTTGTTTTCACTTTTATCTTGCCCTTCGGTCCACTTGGAGCCACCAATGAGCCTAGCAAGCTTTTCGGCAATAAAATATGTGGGAAACAGTTGAAAAAAGTCATGTATCAACATTATGCAAATAACATGTGCCAATAATAAAGAAAAGGCTGTATTGTATTCTGACTTAAGAGAGCTGGCCAGCAATCGCTAGGATTTTCGCAGGAAAGCATGGAGATTGTTAACTAAGTCATTTATCACCAGTTCCTGTTTCCGCTTGCTGTCATTTCCCAGCCTGTGTGCCCTTCTGTCGCAGACACCCAGGTGCCAAGCTCTCATTTTGCTTCACCTGAACTGCTGCACTGCAACCTTCCCAGTCAACATGTGTATTATTCCTTTGCCTTATTCCCTGCTAGTTTGAAGAGAACTCTAGAGAGCTGACAGCTACTGCTAATGAATTCTCCATGCACCCTGAGGAGCACTAATCCAGATTCTGCAGAAATTTCATTAGCACTCTGTGGCCTAGAAATCTGTTTAGCTAGAGGAGGTTTTCGATTTTTTCACACACGAGACTGCACAGCTAAAACTTGGCAGCTGGGCACCAGATTTGGTTGGCGAATGAAATGTTTCGGTGAAATACTCTTGCTGTATTAGAACACACAGGAGTTCTAACCTCTCAAAGCTTTCCTGGAGTTTATTCTGTAAATTCTCTCTTACTTGGTCTAGTTAAGAAGCCAAGCAGAATTGTGTTGCCTGTCTACCATCCAATCTCTTTGAACCTTTTTTAAACACAGATGTTGGGCATCCATATGTAAAAGAAAAACAAGTGCTTCCATGTGATCGTGTGACTTATCTGTTTAACATTAGTGTCAGCAGCTGTCCGTGAGAGTTCTTAGTAGCACAATCTGTCAGTGCTTCTGGAAGATCTCATCCAATGTCGTAGTGAGGGGAGCAGGTTGCAGACATTATTTATTCATTCTTTAGTGAGGCCATGGATGGATACTGGACAAGAAAAGCTCTGATAACTTCCATTTTGGATTTCTGTAATACATTGTGTGGGGGACGGCCTTCCAGAGGACTGGAAGCTTCTGCAGGTACAAAATACAACTTGGTTCCTTCCTTCATCCTTACCGGTTTTGCCTTTGCATTTCAGATAAGCCAACACAGTGTTCATAGCCACTTTCACCCTACATTTGCTCCAGTTATCTCCACTTTACAGAATTTTGTCAGCACTAAGAGGTCGTCTGCTGATTCCTCTCACAGAAACTCAGGTATGGGACAGAACCTGCAAACCAATACAACCCTGTGAATTATGCTGAATGTTCACTGCCATCTTATTCTGTTCATTTATAAACCTAGTTAGGTATTTACTTCTGTATGTAGCAAGGAAGCAATTCTTAGCAATAACTCCTAAATATGAAACAGTCCTGTGAAATATGGAGCAGATGATTAGGCATTTCTAATGTGCTAATTACAGTTTCTCACATTGCATTTGAAGTAGCCCAGGTCCTGTTTTTCCTGTTTTGAGTCCACTTCGTGCAACATCTTAAAGTTGTCTGTTACCTACTAAGGTTCATGGCCCAATAAACTACTTAATTTATAATGGGCAACTGGCATATCCAAGTCATTTCTAAATACTGAAGGAAAAGCCCAACCAGACTTTAATTTTTCAGCTATATGGCTCTCCACCCCCCTAAATATCTGCAATTACCGTATTTTTCACCCTATAGGACGCATCGGCCCATAGGACGCACCTAGATTTGGGGGGGGGGATAAAGGGGAAAAAATTATTTCCCCCCCGCCAGGCACGGGGCTAGGGCGGGGGGGAAGTCCAAGCTTCCCCCGACCCCAGCCCCCAGAACGGGAGCCAGAGCGATGCCGAAGCTGCGTGCACATTCGCCATCGCTCCCGGAGCTTGCGGGGCTGGGGAAGCCCGAGCTTCCCCAGCCCCCAGAGTGGGTCGGAGAGTGCTGGCGAACGTGCATGCACCTTCGCCATCGCTCGCGGAGCTTGCGGGGCTGGGGGTGGGGGAAGCCCGAGCTTCCCCAGCCCTCAGAGTGGGTCGGAGAGCACTGGCGAAGGTGAGCGCACCTTTGCCATCACTCCCGGAGTTTGTGGGGCTGGGGGTGGGGGAAGCCCGAGCTTCCCCCGCCCCCAGAACGGGTCGGAGAGCGATGGCGAAGGTGCACGCAGCTTTGGCATCGCTCTGGGAGCTTGCCGGGCTGGGGGGATAGCTTCCTGAAGCCTGGAGAGCAAGAGGGGTTGGTGCGCGCCGACCCCTCTTGCTCTCCAGGCTTCAGCGAAAGCCTGCATTCGCCCCATAGGACGCACACATATTTCCCCTTCATTTTTGGAGGGGAAAAAGTGTGTCCTATAGGGCGAAAAATACGGTAATTCTAGTTATGAACATTTTAGTGTACGTAGTTAAGCATTGAAAGGTATTTATTTAGGGTGTTCACTGACCAAAATATAAGTTGGCAGAGTTTATGCACTCTGCAAGAACTACTACGCTTGCACATTTCACCCATTGTCAAGAAAACCTATAGCTAATTTTTAATCTCCTAATAGTGATCAGGGCAGAGAGCAAATTCAGGCAGACCCCAAACTACATTGGTCAGCCTACGAAGCACTTCAGATCAGGGCTTGCTGTTTTCCAAAGCACTGAATTAGGTTCCAAGGCTTGCAGTTGCACACCCCTAGTATTTACCGTATTTTGCGCCCCATAGGACGCACCGGCCCATAAGGCGCACCTAGTTTTTTTGGGAGGAAATAAAGAAAAAAAATTATTTCCCCCCCAGGCGCGGAGCCCGAGCTTCCCCCCCAGGCGCGGAGCCCGAGCTTCCCCCGACCCCAGCTGCCAGAACAGGCTGCTCTGCGCAAGCCGTGGGAGCCCTCCCGCGGCTTGCGCAGAGCTACCCGAAGCCCCGACGCAACTGCTGAGCGCACCGGGGCTTCAGGATAAGAGGCGGCTCTGCGCAAGCCGGGGGAGCCCTCCCACGGCTTGCGCAGAGCTACCCGAAGCCACGGCGTGACTGCCCAGAGCGCCGGGGCTTCGGGATAAGAGGCGGCTCTGCGCAAGCTGGGGAGCCCTCCCGCGGCTTGCGCAGAGCTACCCGAAGCCACAGCGTGACTGCTGAGCGCGCCGGGGCTTCGGGATAAGAGGCGGCTCTGCGCAAGCCGGGGGAGCCCTCCCGCGGCTTGCGCAGAGCTACCCGAAGCCCTGGCGCGACTGCCCAGTGCGCTGGGGCTTGGGGATAAGAGGCGGCTCTGCGCAAGCCGGGGGAGGGCTCCCGCGGCTTGCGCAGAGCTACCCGAAGCCCTGACGCGACTGCTGAGTGCGCCGGGGCTTCGGGATGAGAGGCAGCTCTGCGCAAGCCGGAAGAGCCTTCCCGCGGCTTGCGCGGAGCTACCCGAAGCCCCGACGCGACTGCTCAGCGCGCCGGGGCTTCGGGATGAGAGGCAGCTCTGCGCAAGCCGGGGGAGCCCTCCCGCGGCTTGCGCGGAGCTACCCGAAGCCACGGCGTGACTGCCCAGAGCGCCGGGCTTCGGGATAAGAGGCGGCTCTGCGCAAGCTGGGGGAGCCCTCCCGCGGCTTGTGCAGAGCTACCCGAAGCCACAGCGTGACTGCTGAGCGCGCCGGGGCTTCGGGATAAGAGGCGGCTCTGCGCAAGCCGGGGGAGCCCTCCCGCGGCTTGCGCAGAGCTACCCGAAGCCCTGGTGCGACTGCCCAGTGCGCTGGGGCTTGGGGATAAGAGGCGGCTCTGCGCAAGCCGGGGGAGGGCTCCCGCGGCTTGCGCAGAGCTACCCGAAGCCCTGACGCGACTGCTGAGTGCGCCGGGGCTTCGGGATGAGAGGCAGCTCTGCGCAAGCCGGGGGAGGGCTCCCGCGGCTTGCGCGGAGCTACCCGAAGCCCTGACGCGACTGCTGAGTGCGCCGGGGCTTCGGGATGAGAGGCAGCGCTGCGCAAGCCGGGGAGGGCTCCCGCGGCTTGCGCAGAGTTTCCTGAAGCCTGGAGAGTGAGAGGGGTCGGTGCGCACCAAACCCTCTCGCTCTCCAGGCTTCAGCGAAAGCCTGCATTCGCCCCATAGGACGCACACACATTTCCCCTTCCTTCTTGGAGGGGGAAAAGTGCGTCCTATAGGGCGAAAAATACGGTATATCATTTGCAACAAACCTAATAAATCAAAAGTTAGGCAAAGGAGACCCATATGGTATCACCATCTCTGGGCAAAGATATGCAACAGTCACCTTGTGTCTATTGGGGGTATACACTTGAACACACTTCAGTGGATAATGGGTTCCCCACTTCCATGCTCAGTGAATGGCAGACGCTAAGTCCTTTTCCAGTTGCATAATGTATTTCTTGCTCTGGCATAAACAAGCTTTTCATCAGTGATAATTTTGAAACAGCAACCAGGGTCTATAATCTCCTGATGGCATTATCTTTTAATTACAGAAACTAATTGTTCATTTCTTTATTAGTTGGGACAGATATGAGCCCGAGGACTGTGGAAATAACAAGAGTGAGTGGCTTTTCTTACTTTTCAAAGCATTTAGTTATTATTTTAAGTGAATGGAGCTACATAAGGTTCTTCCTGTGTGTAAAAGTTAGCCGCGTTTGTTTCTTTAAAAAAAACAAAACCCAAAATATTTCTACATTTATTTCTTAAAAAAAAAAAAGTTCAGTTTTTATTTGCAGATTTATTTATTTTTTAATGAGAGGTGATGAATTCACTTTGGGCTGTATGTGAACATGGGACCAAAACAGAGTTTGGCCATTTTACTCACCCATCCTTAGTTAAATTATATTAATACCTACTAGTGGTGTAGTGGCCTTTGTATGTGATATATGTGCCATCATGTTGCCGCAGCTTATGCGCATGAGTTGCTACCAAATTAAGGGTTCTGTGGATCAATAGGAGTCTCATATAAAAGAACCAGTGACTGCCTTTAGGTTGTGTTTTACTTCTCCAATTGAACAGACTTTCCATACACGCATACATCTCCTGGACTTAAGGTAAGGTTAAGGTACCCCTGCCCGTATGGGCCAGTCGTGTCCGACTCTAGGGTTGTGCGCCCATCTCACTTAAGAGGCCGGGGGCCAGCGCTGTCCGGAGAGACTTCCGGGTCACGTGGCCAGCGTGACGAAGCTGCTCTGGCGAGCCAGCACCAGCGCAGCACACGGAAACACTGTTTACCTTCCCGCTAGAAAGCGGCACCTATTTATCTACTTGCACTTGGGGGTGCTTTTGAACTGCTAGGTGGGCAGGAGCTGGGACCGAAAGACGGGAGCTCACCCTGCCACGGGGATTCGAACCGCCGACCATGCGATCGGCAAGTCCTAGGCACTGAGGTTTTACCCACAGCGCCACCCGCGTCCCTTCATCCCCTGGACTTAGTTGTTGCTAAATCAATATTGAACGATGCACAGGAAATTGCTAGAAATTTCGCATCACTGTCATGCTTGGTTTTATTTATCACTAAGGCCCATGTGTTAAATGTCTTGAATGATGTCAACACAAATAGTTATGTTGCTAACCTCTCTGTTAAGGGTCCAAATGATGCTCTTGGTATCAGCATAGCTGGGGGCAAAGGAAGCCCATTGGGAGACATTCCAATCTTCATTGCCATGATTCAAGCCAGTGGAGTAGCAGCACGTACACACAAACTAAAAGTAAGTGAAAAAGATAAAATTATCCATATATATTGTCTTTATTTTCATGTTGCTGATTTTATCTCCCCGCCACCCAAGAAAACTGCAAGGGTTATATATTGTTCGATATACTCGGACAGGCATTTCCATTCTATTTCCAACTGTGAAATGTGCTTCTTTCTTACTTCTGATTAGCAAAACCACCTGTGTCAACTACTGTGAGTGATTGCATAACAGTAATAATAGAAAATTGCCTTTTAAATGGACTCTGGTTTCTGGAACCAGAGTCATGTCATGCAATCTGCCATTTCAACAAAGCAAGGAAGCTGAAAGAACACAAATTGTCTCTATGAATTTACTTAAAACCCCTATGGCTTGTCTTGTGCTAGATCCACTGGCCTGGCTTGTGCTTCACATTAAACCATAGTTCAAAGCAAACTGTGATGTCATGTGAACAAGCAGTTTGCTGGTGCACACTGCTCAGAAGTTCCTATATTGTTGCACCCCTGATCCTGCACTGCAGGCACAGCAAAGCCAAAGCCTGGCTTGTCATGTCACATGGACCAGGGCTAATTTTTGCTCCAAACAAAACATAAGTATTGTTCTTGGCTTACTGCTTGTGATTTGGCAGTTTGTTTCACTCCCATTAAATTATAGTTAGTTTTAATATGATCTGCAAACTGGGCCATTGTGTGTCTTCTATGTACCTTCATCTCTGCCTAACTCTAAGAAATATGATTGCTATTTAACCAAGTATTTGGTGATTGAGCAGCCACTTCAGACACTTAAAATGTGCTCAACACTATGTTATTTGACTTTCCTGATGAAACATGTGTGTAGAGAACTTAAATTGTGACCCAGGACATCCACAGGTACAGCCATAGGTTCAGAGCAATTATTTCTGTCATTGCCACCATGTATTTTTCAGCTTCTGCAATCATAGGAACTCTTTCCAAGTGCCGGCAGCTGTTTTGGCAAACAGCCCAAGCCATGGCAAACAGCCCAAGTCCCCAGGGACCCCACAGAATACACTGGGTGGCAAAGATCCTGAATGTCTTACTTGGCCCTAAATGTTTAGGGTATTCAGTAAAGATATGCATAGAAATAACCTCTTTTAAAAAAAAAAAAGTCTCCCGTGGAAAGCCGAAGCATGTTTTGATTGCCTGAAATGGCTCCGAGATTTAGTGCCTACTATTTGGTTAATAGTACCATTTTATTTTTATTTTTGAAGGTAGAATATCTTTGTAGCTTTTGTATCAATATACTTAACTGTAGTGATGTAAAGATGCAAGTATAAGTACCACAAAGATTATGATTGCCTAAAAACAGCAAGATAAGATATAAGTGCCTTCTTTCCTGAACTGTTCATGCACTCTCGCTAAAAGAAAAAGAGCTTGCAGAGAGGCACTTCAACTGTTTACTATACAGCTCTGGAATTCTTCCCACTCAGAAAACAACAACTTATCCTGGGAACATGGGGAGCCATATTGTGTGCACCACTGGTACACATATGTACCCTACAGCGATTTCCATGATAGCAGTAGTACTCTACCCCGTACCACATGTCAGGGATGAATTTGTGTATAGGAAGAAGATTGTGTGGGGAAACAAGCTGCCTTTTCACTCTGTGAACTGGCCTCAAGACTGAACTTCATCTGGATCTGCTGTAAGACTGTTTGGGTCAACCTGCTTCTTTAGGTGAATGCTAGGACTCTGTGTGGAGGTGATGAGGCCAGTGATAACTGTCATGCCATTTATGTCACGCTTTATTTAAGTGAGACAAATGGAAAATTAAACAGGCTGTTGCAGAAAATTAATACTAAACCCTATATCTTCAGTAGTAAGTATTGGTTCTTATGTACCCCATTGACATCTGTGGTCACAGATATACTATCTACCAGAGATCATGTGATTTCTCCCATGACGCTGCATATTAAAAGAATGTGCTTTTGTGCGCCGCATGCATGTCCTTGGACTGCTGTAGGCTTTTGCTACCTAGGATGTGTTTTGGTGTAATTCTCTGCTTCCAAAATTTATCAGTGAAGTAGGAGCTCTTTGTTTGTGTTCTACTACTTCCAGGAGGAGTGTTTTATCCTCCCTATGAAAAGTACTCAATGATCAAAACATAGCAGATCTCTATTGTCTTTCTATAACCGGGAAGCATGAGTATGCAGAGTCAGAACTTGCAAGAAACGTTGAGCTTTCTTCCAATTTTCCTTAATGCCAGCAATTTTTCTGTAGCTATTGTACTTTCCCCCCCCCTTTTAGGTTGGCGATCGGATTGTCAGTATTAATGGGCAGCCTTTGGATGGGCTGTCTCACGCTGATGCAGTTAATCTACTGAAGAATGCTTTCGGGAGCATTATCCTGCAGGTATGATGATAAATTGAACATGCGGCTGCACAAGGATAGATAAATGGTGTTTTTAAAGAAAAGGCTGAGCATCAGTGGCGCAAGGCACCACAGCACGGCAAAGCTCTTGCTGATTTGAATTATGCAAGATGAAAGCAAGAAATTATTTCATTCAAGAGTGCTTTATTCTTGTCCATTCACACTGCGAACATGATCTTATAAAACTGAGGGGGAGAGGGAACGACTTCTTGCTGTACATGAAAAATCATCTAGGCTTTCAGTTTCTGTCACTTTTGAAACAAAAACAAATTCCCCCCTCTTGCTACATAGGTTTGATGGAGCTGCCCATCATGTTAACCTTATTTGTTCTTCAAAGCAGGAGGGGGCACAAGAAATAGCATTGCTTCTTTTGAACCGCTATATATGGCTGGTTATCAACCAAGTGGCAGGACTTGGATAGTACAATTGATCTATCATCTTAATTTGGCAGGAGGAAGGGAAAAGGTGTGTTATCTAGCAAGATGCACTCCCTTCGTGTTTGTATGGAAAAGCATTTATTTTCTTAGCAGAGCTAATGAACATGCTTACAGCTCATCTAAAAATAAATAAATGGGCATGCTCTTAATAAAACCAAACTTATTTCACAGTGTTGCTGTGATAAAGGGGTTGAAGGGGTTGAGTCATACACATTGCCCTAAGGAAGGAAATAATGGGGCAGGGAGTTAAACGCTTTTAAATACCACACCACCACCCACTCCCAGATTTACCGTATTTTTCGCCCTATAGGACGCACTTTTACCCTTCCAAAAATGAAGGGGAAATGTGTGTGCGTCCTATGGGGCGAATGCAGGCTTTCGCTGAAGCCTGGAGAGCGAGAGGCGTCGGTGCGCACCGACCCCTCTCGCTCTCCAGGCTTCAGGAGAGCCGCACCGCCAGCCCCACAAGCTCGGGGGAGAGCGGGGAGGCGCAGCGCGCCTTTCCCGCTGTCCCCCGACTTGGTTAGAAGGCTGGCGGAGGGCTTCCCCCTCCTCCAGCCCCACAAGCTCCCAGAGCGATGCCAAAGCTGCACGCAGCTTCGGCATGGCTCTGGGTCCCGTTCTGGGGGCTGGGGGAGGGGAAGCTCTGCTTTCCCCGCCCCCAGCCCCACAAGCTCCCAGAGCGATGCCAAAGCTGCACACAGCTTTGGCATCGCTCTGGGTCCTGCTCTGGGGGCTGGCGTCGGGGGAAGCGGAGGGGGGGAAAATAATTTTTTCCCCTTTATTTCCCCCCCAAAAAATCTTGGTGCGTCCTATGGGCCAGTACGTCCTATAGGGCGAAAAATACGGTAAGCAATTCACACAAGCGTTCATTCTCAGCAATAACCCACATGGGGGTGGAACCATAAATGTTAGGAATGCATAGCAAAACAGAAGAAAGTCAAATTTCTAATTCACTGGTGCCACTCCACAAGAAAGAGGAATGCAAAACCACAAATTCCAGGAGGAATATAAATGGGATTTAAAAACATCCCTAATCTGCCCCTGTTCTAGTTCTTGTCTTATCTGTAAATGCCTTTGCTAGTGCAATAAATGGTAAACTGACAAAATTAAAGCTGCTATCTGAGGTTATGTTAGACTCACTCCATATAGTGAATGCTGCCATGATTGTAGCCAAAATGGGGCCCACTGGAGAAGGAGATCTATCAGGATTCTCAGGGAAACCCAAATGTTTGCAGAACTTTACAGAATATTTTTTTTAAGAAATGTAAGGGGCAAAACTCCATTTAAGAAAAGAGCCCAAAGAGGGCTTTACATGCTCAGTAGCCATGGAATGTAGAATGTTAGTTGGAAAAGAAAAATGGAAGTGACTTTGGGGGAGCATATCCATATCTGCTTTATGTAGATTTTGTTGAAGTTAATCTGATAAGGTAAGGCCTGCCTGTGCTCAGGGCAATAGGTTCTAATAATAGTAACAGGTTCTAAGCAAGATTTTAAAATATTGAAACTTGGCAAATTAACAAAAATAATTTTGTTAGATACAGCCAATCTAATGCAAACTGAGGTCGCCATTTATCACCACATGAACAAGCCCAGAATAAAAATCCCAGCCGAAGTTGGATGGTGAACTTTATGAGCAGATGCCATAGTCCCCAAAATAAAGAACAGTATTATTTTAGAATGGCAGGAAACCAGATTCTATGGGAATGCAAGATTAAATATACTTGCTCATGACATGTCTGTTACTCATTACATGTCTGTTATATCAACACTTCCAGAAAACCAGATTGTTCAGTTGTTCATCTTTTAAAAGGCTACCTCTCGCCCCTGCAGTATGGTTCTTATTTAATAATAATTGACCTACAAAAATAATACAATGCACATATTTTAATTGTTATTTATTCACTTTCAATTTTTGCATTAAATATGCATTAAAATTAAAATTTCTACCAAAAAAATCTTTTTTGTAGAAAGACATTTAAGAGTCATTGTGCAACTTGTCTTGTTTATGTTCCTGTATCCAAACAGATCAGCAAAAAAAAATATGGATGTGATTAATAGTAAATGGTTATATTTCATTTTAAATAACTGTACTTCTCATTTGCCCATTGATGAATCCACACCACAGAAGTGAACTCATCCTATCAATTTGATAATCATGAGTGACACATCATTAAGTAATTCTATTATCTGCTAAACCACCTCATAGTCACTGGCTATGAAAGGTCAGATAATTGTATCCACTGGTGTGGAAAGCTTTATAGTCGATATGTCCTGGGGCAGGATGGCAAAGGAGTTTGTTAATGCTGTTTGCAAATGGGAGATTAGGATCCTGGGGGAATATTTCATCCCTCCTCACTGTTTGGATGCTGCTAGTTAATTTAATCAGCTGTCTGCAGGTGTAGTAATGAGATAAGGGGAAGCTTTTTGCAAGGTTGTTGAACTTTGATATGCTCTTACTGCCAGCCACAGATGGGTGAATATAGATATGTCCTCCTGCCAGGTTTTGCTGTTGTTTTTAACCACAAAGCACGAGCATTTTAGCTGTTTTCCCATCCTACTGGAAAATTATAGTATTATTCTACCTTATGAGTAAGGCAGAACAAGCATATAAAATATTATCTGCTGTTTAATCAATACACTGTGATTCTGAAATCTGGACCATTTATTTTAAAGGTAAATCAAACTGGAATATGCCACTAGATTTCTTCTCTTACGTGACCCAACTTCACTCAGAGGAGAATGTAGCCTTTTATTAGCTGACTCAGTAATATTAATTGGGTGAAAAGACATGCTGGCTTCTTTTAGAGATGGGCATGTTTCACCATGTTCTTGCATTGGTTCATCTTATAAATGAACCGACCTATTACTCCCCAGTTGGTAAGTAGCTCCATTTATGGCCAAACCAATCCAAGTTTTCATGGAAGCAGCCTTCAGCAAAATAACACAGATGCAAAAGAGTAAAATTTGGAGGGGAGGCAAAGAAAACCCCCACAGAGGACTTTTGGCCAAGACAATCTCCTGTAGGAATGGTCATTTGACACCCAGCTCCCTTTGGTTAGATAATTTTCTAACGCTGTTCCTCTTCTTCGAGATAAGCATTATTGAGCCCCTTCTTGATTTGCTAATTTTTGTGTCCAAAAATAGCATGTGCAAAAAGCTTAATTCATTCTTGCAATGAATACAGGTAAGGCAAAAGGGGTAGGAGTTTAATATGTTCATCTACTTGCCTTCCAAGTCTAGAAAAAAATAAGCATCATACATGTGCATTTACAGGCTGCAGTCCTATAGATGCTTAACTGGAAGTAAATCTCATTTAACTTGGGGGATTTACTTCTGGGCAAACATACCGTCTTTTCTTTTGAAAAGCTGAATAGGGCTAAATCGAGACACAACAAAAAGTGTTTCTGGAAAACATGTTGTAAACTTCATAATGGGAAATCACGTTGGCTAAAGGTGGGACTCCATAGCGCCATCTGGTGTCACAGTGTTATAACACATATAAAACACTTTTTCTTTACTAATGTAGCTGAGTCCCAGGTTATATAAATGGCTTTCATTAGCCTTCTCTCTAGGCACAAATGATGTCTTTATCCACTTAGCTTTAACAATGCTACAGCCTTGAGTGCTTCCACAATTCACTCATCAGTTAAAGTTCCCTTTTAATTAGGAAAAGTGGCTTTCTAAGAATACAGAATTTGCTGCTTGATAATATGCTAGCTAATATATATGTTTAGATTTGTCACTTTCACTTTGTCTTGCAGGTTGTAGCTGACACCAACATCAGTGCCATCGCCAGCCAGCTAGAGAGCATGACTGCTAGCACTAATTTTAGCCCACCTACAGAAAACCATCCTGAAGACCCAGAGTAAGTTGTGCTGATACTTAAATTTTCTAGAGGAAGCAAAACACTGCCCTGAAGAAGTTGAGAATGCTGAGTTTAACGGCATTGATATTTGGATTTGCGATCAGTTTTAACAAATTACTTTGGACTTTGAGCATGCATTATAATTTGTCCCTTGCTTTCTATAGCTAAAAGGCTTTTAAGTTGCCATAACAATTTGAGCTTCCATAACTCCAAAATTTTGAATTCCATGCTGTTGTCAAAAATTGCCATTAGTTAGGTGCAGCAGATGGTATGGCTGCTAGTGAAACTGGTTGAATGGTTTAGCTGGGGTGATTTCGTTATGGTATGTTGAGAATCAGAAAGTATTTGAGGTGTTGGTGTCTAAATCTTGGTTTTCCCCCATGTTGTCTGAAATAATGGAGATGCATATAAATGGATTGTAGAGGGGGGTGGATTATAGCTTAATACTGTACACATTGTGAGATTTTCCAAATTCGGTGGGATGAAAGATTTATGCTACAGTCTATACCATCTTACTTGGAAGTAATCAAACTTAGTGGGGCTTACATTTGAATAGACATGTACAGTATCAGTCTTCATGCATAAATCTAATAGATTGTCATACCAAGGGCAGATGATTCTTTTCTCTGTAGTCAAGATCCACAAATGCACTGGAGTTTTCCTTGTAAAATGCCACCCTGTCCATTTGATTGAAATACTTAGGGAGTCCAATTGTGTTTTATAAGCTGGTCTCAGACCGTTAATAAATTATCTATTCTATTCTATTCTACTTAGGGAGTCTTTTTCCTTAATGTACCTCTTGCCTTATGCATCTTACTTTGCTCTTGTGACATCTTTCAGTCTGAATAATGTCAGGGTTGTATTTATCCAGTGGTTCTGAATAAGTATTGCACAATGAAGAATTTTTCATACAACATGTGATCTCTAGACCTTGTGAAAGGAGTGGAGGGGAGGAGTATATCAGCAAGAGAAAGAGAAAATCAGTGGGGTTTTCAGTGGCATTGCAGGGGGGTGGGTTGGACCTCAGTCTCCTACCTTGCTTCTTGCCCTTCTTCATGACTAAAAGAAGCCCTATAAATTAGGCATATAAGCAACTATGCAATTTCCTAATGGTTGTACCATGCTCCTTTTCTTAGTATAGACTTTGGGGTAGGGTCGCTGCTCTTTTTAGAACTTGGGTAGGGAGTATCCTGCCTGTATGTCAGTAGACCCAATGATACATCCCATCTCTATTATTTTAGGAACAAGGGTTAGATATGCTTTTGTTATTCAAGAGCACCTGTTGAAATGTTTGGCTGTCCTCAGCCTCTTCCCTTGATAGATTATGTAAACATTTTTGTTTTCAGCTGCTAGTCTTGAATATAATTGCTAATAACACAAAAATATGCAAATGTGAATCTTCCAGGCTGCCAGAAGATTTGGAGGGTTTTATTATTATTATTCTGATTGACTTGTGACAACCAATCCTCCTGAGTTTCCTCCACTGATGTGTTGTCATGTTGATTCTGCTCCTATCTGGCTACGTTTTCGCTTGAGCTGAGTTATGACAACTACAATTCCAGATGATCTGCCTTTAGAGAAATTAAATGAAGAACAGCTTTGCCCACTCTTCCTGAAAAAGCTTCTAGATGCATGCTCCATAAAGTTTCTCTTTGGCTTTACTTTTAGTCTTTTCTCCCCTTTGATTCATGATAACACCAGTCACCAAAACTCAATAGTTCAGATTACTCTTTGCATCTGTTTCATTGAACGGTGCTGGGTTATTTCTTATCAAATGACTCCCCAGTCTTCTTGTAAACATTCCAACTCAGCATTGGTGTTTTATCTATTTCCTTAAAGGGGGGGGCTCATTTCTGCTGTTGGTTCCATTGCAAGTCAGATGCACATCTCAAAACTTGCGGTTTGCTGAGGGGGCTGCCCTGGTATTATTCTCTTCCACATTGGTCGTGGTTAAACAAATATTGGGACTGTCTTCTCTCATCTGTAGCTGCCATCATTAGTAGCTTCACTTCTTAGATAGTGAGCTTCATTTTAAAATACATATACTGTGGAATCACAGGGCCACAAACATCTTTCATACAACCACTTTCCTTCCAGCCTGGATCTTCTGAGTAGCAATTCACTTCAATACCATTCAACAATCTATAGGTTAGTCCTTGCCTGCTGTAAGCAGAGCACAGGTTTCTGCTAGATATAATTGTTTTGAAAAGTACATGCATCAAGCAAAGCAAATCACTTATGCACTCCTGCTATCCTAGTGTTGCCAACTTTTTGTGAGCTTTCTTCATGCCATGGTTCTCCTCTGTGAACAGCTAAAAACATCAGCAGTTAAACATTTTCTAGTTTTCACTGATGAGAAAAAGTTCAACTGGCCCAATGCCTACCTCTTATGCTGCTGACAAAAGCATATAGAGTCAGAGGTGGAGGAAACCTTAACAGCTCTATTATAGGTCAACACAGGGCCATCATTGGGCACTTCCTGAGGCCCATATTTCCTGAGGGAAACTCAGCAAGATGGGTGGGGTATAAATTATTATTAATTCTTCTTCTTCTTCTTCTTCTTCTTCTTATTATTATTATTATTATTATTATTTATTTATTTTCTCCAGCAAGGAACCCAGTGTCAACCTCCTCAGCCTCCTTGATGTCATTGTCTGTTTACTTGCCCCCTCTCAGCATGTAAGCAGTGAGAAGACTGAGGAGATAGACCAGTATCCTTCACATGCCTTAGTTAGAGTGCAACTTTGGGAAGTTGAGAGGATTAGGCCCAGAGGGAAAGTGTAGTGCAAAGGATTGGACAGTATTGCCATCAGTGAGAAGGAGGGGTCTCACTGAGGACATATTTACAAAGGTCCTTCAAAAACCTAGAGCCAGCACTAATCTCACATAGCTAATTCGTGAGAAAGCCCAGTAGCTCAGTGGTGGAGCATATCCTTTGTGTACACAAGATCTGAATTTCAGACCTTGGCCTTTCCAATATCAGTGCTTGGAAAGGCTCTTCTGCCTGATACCCTGTAGAGCTACTGCCAACTAGATCAATACACACCATTGATCTGACAGTGTGCAGCCGTTTCAATTAGGTTACCTTTCCACTTATTAAATAAGCTCTGTTTTAAGTGGCATTTGCTGTGTTTTCCAGATCACCTCAGCCTAAGATTATTGTGTTGGAGAAAGGCTCAGATGGATTGGGATTTAGTATTGTAGGGGGCTATGGAAGTCCCCATGGAGACCTCCCTATTTATGTCAAGACCATTTTTGCAAAGGTAATCGACAAGAAAAGATGAACCTATGCATGTATCTTCGCTGCTTCAAAATACATTTGTAACAACTAATTTCATTTTAATTTGATCAAAGCCACTCTTTGATTGGGGAAAGTGGGGGGCGGTCTGTGAGTTTCCATATCTTGGAAAATTGGAACTACACCCCTAGCAGGCTGTTGCTAAAAATTTTAAAAGTTGTCTATTGACTAGGTGAATGGATGTCATCAGCTGTGTACACACCATACATTTAAAGCACATACCCTCCTCCAAGAGTCCTGAGAACCGTAGTTTAGCTCTCACAGAGCTACAGCCCACTCCCCACCCTTAACAACGTACAGTTCTTAGCAGGAAAGGTTCTTGAAATGTAAGGTGTGTTTACAGTCATCCTTAAAGTTCAGCTTCTATCACATCAGAAAGGTGTTGGGCTCTCAAGCTCTCATTTTTGGAATGAAGACAAGTCATTTTCCTAAGTTAGATGCTGAAGGCCCCTTTAAAAGCACCAGCCTGAGGTCCAATTCACAATTAATGTATGATGGCGCTGTGGGTAAAAGCCTCAGCGCCTAGGGCTTGCCGATCGAAAGGTCGGCGGTTCGAATCCCCGCGGCGGGGTGCGCTCCCGCTGCTCGGTCCCAGCGCCTGCCAACCTAGCAGTTCGAAAGCACCCCCGGGTGCAAGTAGATAAATAGGGACCGCTTACTAGCGGGAAGGTAAACGGCGTTCCGTGTGCTGCGCTGGCTCGCCAGATGCAGCTTGTCACGCTGGCCACATGACCCGGAAGTGTCTTCGGACAGCACTGGCCCCCGGCCTATAGAGAGATGGGCGCACAACCCTAGAGTCTGTCAAGACTGGCCCATACGGGCAGGGGTACCTTTACCTTTACCTAACATGTCAAGTTTTTTTAAATAGCAGCTGTGGGGAGGAGCTGATCAGAATTGAGATCTCAGCACATGGGAAAGGGAGGCTTAACTCTGGTACCAGTGCAAATCCCTTCCTGAGCTACTGTTACCAGGAGAGAAGTTTACACAGCTGCTATTTTGATTTTTCAAAGCCATACATTTTAATTGCAGCCATGCATTTATTGTCACTCCTAGTTCACCATGATACCTCTGGTATCAGGTGTACCCTTTGTTCCTCTCCCACTTAAAGATTCAAATAAGTGTTCACGTACCTGTTTCTGGGTGTTTTACTCTTTGTTGATCTGGTGTATCATATTCTTTGTTCATTGCATTATTTTCGGTATTTTCATGTTTCTTACTCCCAACTGAACAGTTTTGGGCATTATATGACAAGGTTGCATCAAATTTTATGCACAGCCCGTTGTGCATATCTTGTTTCAATCTTTGCTTAGATGTGCAGAATCTGAAATGCAAAACAGACATTTAAAAAAAAAGATGTCTCTGTCAAGAAATTATAAACGGACAGGCATGTGGAATATTGGAGAGCTGAGAACATATAAAAATGCCCACAATCAGTTTTTTTAAGAAAGGAAAAACTTAAAAGGGAGTATTAGAAAATGGAACACTATTTGCAATCTGGTTAGCACAGCTTCGGGTACTTAGTTTAGACATTAATTAAAAAAAATAAATCAGGAGTCCTGCCATGGCCACCTGGAATGCTATGCTTGAGGGGGGCTCCTGTTGTGACCTAGCAACTCAGCAATTCACCCAGCAACTGACACAAATAGTATACATCAGTTATCTCATCTTGCAAAGCTGGCAACACTGACCTACTTGGCCAGCATTGTGTTAGTTTAAAAAAAAAAGTGGGACAATTTTACATCATCGGTTCACATTTTCAACAAGCTGTGTGTCTGTGATTTGAAGCCGTGTGTGCAAATCTTTATCCTATGATGCATGACTTATTCCTTCCAGAGTTCTTATGTGGGCTATCAGTACACATCTTTTGAAAAGTGGTGCTTCTGCTAACAGCAGCCTGCTGAGTAATAATGCAGCAAAGGAAGTTCTCCTCAACTTTCCCTAAAAGCAGATGGCTAGCCACTGTGTGGCCGATAGCAATCTCTGGAAAGCTAATTCAGCAGCACAAGATGCGGTGGTGTGTGTAAATCTCAAAAGGGCAACTTTATGGATACTTGGTACTCGTTTATGCAATATGCAAGAACTAGCCCACACAGTGAGAGGCTCCCAGAAGTGCATCAGGCCTTATGGAAAGATCTCATTTCCAAACATTGCATGGCCCAGTTGGCAGCCAACCAGGTCTAGAGCAATGAATGTGTGCCTCTATACCATTGATGGCATATGGGACACACACACCTACATGTGCGCTTGATTTCCTCTTCAATCTCTTTATTACAGTCAGTAATCAGTATTCAGTTGATTTGATCTTGTTCTGTTTGGTTTTATCAAAAAAAGAACAACAATGGCAGGGAGTACCATTGACACGCCTAATCTTGGAGGTGGGGGCAGTCTGGTCTAGACCAGAATCTTCTCTCCACCCCTTTTCATCATCATCTGTGAAGTGTTTGAAGCATTAATGGCCACAAATGCTCCAAGAAGCATTAATAATGTTAATGGAATGTCACCGATGAGGGTGGTTTGTGTATGTCTCTTTTTATTCTTCTTTAATTAAGCCCCTTCAAATTGCTTGGCCTCTGATGTGCCATTTCTGTTTTTTTTTCAGGGAGCAGCTGCAGATGACAGCAGACTGAAGCGTGGCGATCAGATTTTAGCAGTTAATGGAGAGACTCTGGAAGGCGTGACTCATGAGCAAGCTGTAGCAATTCTGAAGCGCCAGAAAGGGACTGTAACACTAACAGTGTTGTCATGAGATTTTGCTGCAAATTCAATCTGGGCTGGATGCAATTTGTTTCTGAGCATTGCTAGAGCTGCTATAAAACAATCCTGTGTGGGATGAAAACCCAACTCTGTCTAAATTTAGCACACCATTAATCATGTTGCCTGTGCTGTTTACATCCATTGTAGATGTTCGTTTTGCCTAGTCATTGAAACTAATTGTGAAATCCTTAAGCCCACCCACCCCCATTCATCCCTGGTTTCCTTTGAATGTGCTTCCTGGCTCCTGCTTTGCCCAGAACTGCCATCAACCAATAGGAAGTAAAGTCACTGAAACAAAAATTAGCTTCTACACAAGAAAGAAATTAGCTTATTGTTGGATCCCATCTCATGCACAGAGATAACTACAGAGTGGCTTTTCATCTCATTCATGGTTTACTTACGTTCGTTCTCCCCCCCCCCCCCAGCCATTCCAGAAAACATTAAAAATGTAATTCAATTACTGCTGTTCTAAATGATGAAATATCAGATTCTCCCATGGGAAATTAATTGTAAACTGTGTTCTAATCATGAAATGTCAACGCTCCCTGTCTAATCTCTCTGGATAGATATTTGTAAGTTAGTGGCAATCATGACAAGTCAATTTCAGCCTCTCCTTAGTTTGTGTGTGCCATTGTTTTAAAGGCTGGCTCCCAAAAATTCTTGAGATGGATTGGCATGAGCCTTTTGAAGGGGCTGTCTCGAGGGAGCTGGTTCAGTGATAAGGGTGGTTTGTACAGTATAAAGCTTAATTGCACAGAGGCAGAAGGAAGCACCTTAACTTGAAATAGGGCTACGCATTATTTATAATGACAATATAGCAAAATAAACCTGGTGGCTCAAGTTTAAATTTATGTAGTACAATGTCATTGTCATCAGTAAACAAAGTGACAATTTTCTATCTAAAGCCTGCAATTCCTGTAGAATGTATGTAAACTGTATGATACAATTAGAATGCAATAACATTCATGTTGATTGTATATGTGCTAAATTCGTCAAAGGTGACACAGTAATCAAAGAAAAGGTGGTTTTGTCTCGTTAAGATTATTGTCTTTGTTTTATGTGCTATGTTTGGATATAGCTAATCACAAAGTGCTTTAAGCTACTGGAATACTTTCACGGGTGTTCCTTGAATAGTGCCTGGAAGAAGATTTTAAAGGATTTCTACACATCAGTGTGCAGATTAATGCTAGTAATATTTCTAAGAAATGCTAAGAAAATGTCCCAGGAAGAAAACTGAAGAACACTTTAAAGGCTGGAGGCATTCTGTTTGATAAAATATGCTGAAGTTCATACTGCACATCCGTAATCAAACTTGAAAAAGCATTTTAGACTTGTTTAAGGATTGTGACCAAAATCTGTTGATCGTTCTAGTTTAGTTTCGACCAAAAATGTGTAATTTGACAGTTCCCAACCATTCTTTTGAATTTGACCCCAGCTTTTGCCCTTTTATGCATATGTTTCTGATATAAAGAATGATGAGCTTCTATAACTGAGATATTTTGCACTCCCTGTGGCTCAAGGCAGAGATCACATGATTGCTGCTTGTAATTTGCACTCTTCTGTGTGCCACATATAGTACTGCCAAAAACTGCATTGCAACCTGCAACTGAGCTGGTAGGGAAGTAAGTGCTATATGTAAAAGATAAAAAGGCACAATCTGCTAGGAGGTTCTCCTTGCTTTGAGCCCCGTTGAGATGAATGGAAACTGTCTGAACATGGTGTGGGCAGGGCTTAAGGCAGGAAAGCCTCCCAATGGATTGTGCCTCAATTCTTTTAATGAAGCCTGCATTATGCTTTTTTTTTAGTATATGGGCTTTTGGTTTGTTTAATAATGCTGATTTCTGTGATATGGGTGGGAGGTAACAAAACATATAGTTCATTTATGTATGGCAGTAAAATAAAATGTTTTACGACTTCCAAAGATTTGAAATAAAATTCACTTGCAAAAAGTTGGAGGAATACTGGAGCAGAGTCACTATTGCACCAATGCACAGAAGCCTAACTTTATCTTAGAAGAGAAAAGATACATCCCAGATGACATTTTTTCCTTAAAAGGCATAATAGACTCCTGGAACAAACGCTTAAAAATGAGTATCATTTGGGAGCATGGGCTAAGGACTGTTGATTCTTAGCAATTTTGTCCCTTGCTAAGTTGTTAATTTTTTTACTTGTTACCCGCACTTCACACTAAGGTCCCAGGGTGGGTTATAGCATTAAAACACAAGATTAAAAACAATATTGTATCAAGTTGTTATAGCAGGCCTGTGAGGGCATCGGAGCAATGCTCTCCTGGCCAGGCCTTAAGCCACTTAATCTAGCCGTCAACATTCCCATTTCATAGCTTGCAGGTCACTGCCGTACCAAGTTGATCTACAGTGGTGCCCCGCAAGACGAATGCCTCGCTAGACGAAAGGGTTTTCCGTTTTTTGAGTCGTTCCGCAAGACGAATTTCCCTATGGGCTTGCTTCGCAAGACGAAACGTCTTGCGAGTTCTTGCGAGTTTGTTTCCTTTTTCTTAAAGCCACTAAGCCATTAATAGCCGCTAAGCTGCTAATAGCCACTAAGCCGCTAATAGCCATGCTTCGCAAGACGAAAAAACCGCAAGACGAAGAGACTCGCGGAACGGATTAATTTCGTCTTGCGAGGCACCACTGTACATGCTCCACAGTGAAAGCAAGGCCAGTCGGGAGCATTTGTCACGTGTTCAGCACAACTCACCATCCCACAGTGAGACAAGAGCCTCAACAGGAGTGCCAGCCACATTAGCTGGGAAAACCCCCAGGGCATTCAGGAATCCATCCATCTTTGAGGGTAGACCATCTCAGACCATTGCAGAGTAGGGTAGCTATATTCAGCCCAAATCTCACCATGGCATTGTCCATCCTCAACACAGCAAGAATACAGTGGTACCTCAGTTTAAGAACTCTGTTTAAGAACTCCACAAAACCAAAATAGTGTTCCGGTTAGCGAACTTTACCTTGGTCTACAAACAAAAGCCAAACAGTGGAAGGGTACTGGCAGCGGGAGGCCTCATTAGGGAAAGCGCACCTCAGTTTAAGAATGGCTTTGGTTTAAGAACGGACTTCTGGAACGGATTAAGTTTATAAACAGAGATACCACTGTGTTAGCAATCTGTTCTAGGGCATACCTAGTCACATATGTTGGACCCTTTGGAAATAACACTGAAAACAGAAGAAAGCTAAAACTGCTTTGTAGGCAAATGTTATCTTGCAGCCAATGGCAATAGGAACAGTTTAATACAGAACAGATTAAGCATGTAATCTTTTGAAATAAGCCCTCTGGCCAATTTCAAGATCAGCAATATGACTCCTCGTTAGGTAATAAGCATTCCCCCCCCCAGGAACTTCTGCCTTCCGAAATAGCTCAGAGACCAGGTGTATAATGTTAAAAGCATCCAATCTTGATAGTTTTTCTGAGCAGCAGGATCCACCAGTGCCCATTTTAAAATTCATTTTTCAAGTGCTAAAAGCGCTATCCATGTGACCAAGTGGGGCTGCCCTTTAGAGTGACACTGGCATGCTCTTTCAACAGTCACACCTATATAGCATATGCTCCAGTTATCCACATCCTTATGTTGGCTTTTGGAGCTGCTTTTGCAGGAAAACAAAATATTTGTATGAGCTGGTGAAATTGCTACTCGCCATGTGCCCTTGGCCTTCTGCTGACTGAACGGGGGGGGGGGGGGGAAGAGTGTGCCTGTTCTTCCTACAGCCTTACAAGTCCTACACCTACAAGCAGTTTGATAGAAGGAACGGAACAATACAAACCAAGAAAAGATAAGGAGGATGGCAAGAATTTCATTGCCAAGAAGCAATTATTTCCACTATGTGGCTTCAGAAGCCCCAAGTTTGTATCAAAGGGAGACTCGGTGCCATTTGAGGGGCATATCATAGGCTCTCCAAGCTGAGTTCCTGCTTCAAAAACACACCCTTAGAGATATTTTCCACATTGACCTGCCTCTCTTTAAGATCACAAAGTGGGACGACTTCTCTATTATCTTCAACTTCTTATTGTTAAAGCAATCTTATTCTATGAAATTGAGTTGGAAGAGCATGCTCAGCTGAGACAATTTTATCTGTCTCTATAGCTCTGTGCTTTCGCATTCTTGCCAGATAAGCAGGAAATCTACCCATAACTCTCCGGTTATGAGCCATTAATGTTCTCTGCGGGTCTATCCTCTCTATCTTGGAAAGCAGGTAAAAAGTGAATATATTATTATTGCAGCGCAAGAATGGTCTTGGAAAGATATATTTCTTTACTGGCAAATCAAATATAATCACCGCTGCCAGGAACCCTGCCAATAAGCCCATTGCTTTACAATTAAAGTGTCGGAGGTTTGCAAGTTCCATGTGGACAGATTACGGTGGCCATATTTCTATATTGCCAGTCCCCCAAGGCAACCACGCAAAAGGCAAGCTCTTCGACCAGTCAATCCTTTAGGACCAAGGTGGCAAGTGAAGAAAAAAGGACTCTCACCAATGCAGTCTCAGCCGCGGATGCAGTGATGAAAATAAATCGGGGGCCACCTCAAACCACCCCCTACCCCTGGCGCATCTGCCAGAGCAGCACACAGGAGCAAGACTCCACAAGGGCTGCCTAACCGAACTATAGCTTAGGGCCCCACTCTCTTGGCGGCCCCCCAAAAAATTAAAGGAAAAAACTGGATGTATATTTCTAAAAAACAAATAAAAACCTACATATAGCAACAGTGTTTTGTGTTGTGTAGGCTCCTATGATGTGAGTAACGTGCCCCGCCTGCTAGCCTGATTCCTAAAATATCACTGGTTTGCTCATTCTATATATAGGTTGCCTACATTCTGCATGGACTGGTTGTGTGGCAACATGTGCAAATGGCTTTAGATACCAATTAGGTCCATAAATTACCATATAGCATATATTGAACACAAAAAAACAGTGACAAATTGTTGTTGACAAAGGACAGCTGGACATATAAAGGGCCCCATTACCTTCAGTAGCTTAGGGCCTCATCAAACCTAAATCCAGCCCTGGCTGCCTCACATTGCCGCAGTGGCAGTTGGCCACGAGGAGCTCTCTGACAGGTGATGGAGGGAGTCTCCCTTCTCCTCTGCAGCTGAAAATGGGTCAGAGGGTGAAAACACAAATGTCCCATGGTGCCAATGGGGCAAAGCAAGGGAAAACGCCTGGTGCCCTTCCTCAGAGCAGAAGGAGCGACCCCTGGCCGAGAGGGCAATAGCCTGGTGCTGTGTGGAGGTGTCTGGCACTAAAACCCAATGCACCGAGTGAGAGGAGTGGGGTCGGCAGGAGAAGGAGCCTCTGGCTTTGTCTCAGAGACAAGAAGCAGCACTTGCCCTCCCAAGTGGGGAGGGAGGGAACAGCTGCCCCCACAAGGTGTGTCTCAGCGCTTCTTGCTCCCCTGCCCCCTCTTCACTCCCTCTTTCACGCGTTCCTCCTTGTTGAGCTTTTTCTGGTAATATCTCCCCCCAAAATTAAAGTTTGGGGGGATTTTTAAAGCATTTTTAATGCTTTAAATGGCCCTACTTGCCATATGTCTGGGTTTTACGGACATTCTGTCAATTTAGCAAAAATCCACCCGGATGCCATTTTTCAGCCCGATTCCCAGATGTGTCTGGGAAACTCCAGATGTATTGCAGCCATAGGATGGATGCATTTAAGATTATTTTAGGATTATATTCAAGAGCAGCAAGTGTTGCCTGAAGTCACTAGGTTTCCCACAAATATCTAATTGGAGGAAAGAATTGTTTCAGTAATATACAAAAAGTGGCATAATCAGTGAACTGGTATAGGTCTTGTATGTTTGGTGCCCTCTAGTGCCAGGTATCCATTATGAAAATTTGTGTATTGAATTTATTCAGTACAGAGCAGAGGCTCTTAGAAAACAATGAAGTGAACTTCAGTCCCCTTACCTCTAGGTACCTCAGGCCTGGTCAGTGTGGTGTGGCTTCCTTAATATCAGCCATGACCCAACAGACACTTTGTGACTAGCAGCTGATGTGCTTTTATTGACTAATACGGTATCAGGTTTGGACAGTAACTAGAAGCATCCCACCTTTGCAGCTGTCATTACCCCTGCATAACAGCTGCTGCTTTGGCCTTCAATTCAGTTTTGGTAAAGATCAGTATATGACCATTTTAAATGAATGAATGAATAAATGAATAATATTACATTAATTCAATAAGCAAGAGTGGCTCATATGCAGGCTGGATACATCCCACAAACATTGTTATTATTATTATTAGGATGTGGGTGGTGCTGCGGTCTAAACCACTGAACCTCTTGGGCTTGCCAATCAGAAGGTCAGCAGTTCGAATCCATGCAACAGGGCAAGCTCCCATTGCTCTGTCTCAGCTCCTGCTAATCTAGCAGTTCAAAACCATGCCAGTGCAAGTAGATAAATAGGTACCACTGTGGTGGAAAGGTAAATGGCATTTCAATGTGCTCTGGTTTCTGTCAAGGTACTCTGTGCGCCAGTAGTGGTTTAGTCATGCTGGCCACATGACCCAGAAAGCTGTAAGTGGACCAACACCAACTCCCTCGGACTGAAAAGCAAGATGAACACCGCTACCCCATAGTCACCTTTGACTAGATTTAACCATCCAGGGGTCCTTTACATTATTTATTAGTATTATCAATCATCATCATCATCATCTGGCACTTTCAGCTATCTCAGATGCTATTCACAGTGTGATATAAAAAATTGCCTTTCCCCCCCTCAGGTTTTGAAAATGAATCTGTTTAAAAGCAAAATATATGTGTCACTTTCAAGTTCTCGCTGACCACCATACTGCCTCTTGAAGAGATTTATTGCAAAACACGCTTGTGCCTCAGACACTGCCCAGGCCTCAAACCTTGTAGTGTTCTGTGAAGGCCTTATTGTTAGGCAGTGCTGGCTTTTATTATAGAGCCATCTGTGAGGGTGCTGAACTTGG